AGCTTGCTTTAAATCGTGACTGCGTTGGAGTGTTTGGAGTCTGAGGGATTTAGGCAAATACAATTTCCCCCCTTTCCAAGCTAGCCCATCCCTGTGGGTAAGGGTGGTTTGATTGTCATTGAACCATTGGTTCACTTCACCTCCCAGAATCCCCCAATCTCAACTTTGTCCCAGTCCAGGCAGCAGCCCTGAAGTGAAGGGTCCTCCGGCTTCTGCTCAGGGCCAGGAGTTGGGGGGGGGAGGGAGCCTTAAAGGGGTTTGGCAAGACTCACAAAGGAGCAATTGTTGCCTCCGCACCAGGAAGGAGCTGCTGTTGTTCCCAAAACAGCATCCAGCAAGGTGGGATCCCTTACAAGCCAGATTCTGGTTTGGCCACATCTTTCCTCCCTCCCTCCCTCCCTCCCTCCCTTTCTTTATTCTTCCTTTTCTATGCTACCCATCTCACTGATACTGTCTCTCTGGGCCCCTTACAATATCAGAAAACCTTTTTAAAAATGCCAGAAATGGAAGAGACAGACTATAAACCACCATGCTGGGCATCCTGGGGAGGGGGCTGCAGGGCCCTGTTGGGGTCCCAAGCAGCTGTCATGGTTCCCATAGATCAGTGGTTCTCAACGTTTGTGTGACGGTGACCCCCGTCACAGAAACGTTATGCGCATGCACGGCGCCACCCCCATGCACAGCGCACATGCGCGGCACCGCCCCCGGAAGGGAGAAAATGGCGGATCGCCGCCTTTGGCGACCCCCGAAAAGTGGTCGATCGACCCCAAATGGGATCGCGACCCATAGGTTGAGAACCGCTGCCATAGATGAAACCATGCCACTCTCCAGAATTAATGCACATATTCTTTTGCTGGTCCACCCCCCCATTCTGACTTTGTGGACGTCCTGCTCAGCCTGTAAAGCTACGGATTCATCCTCGAATCTGGTTCTCAACCTTTGGATGAACAGATTGTAGTCCCACAGCTCAGGTGCTTGTTCATTGTGCAAACTATTTAGCCACCCCAATGCCTCCCCCTCTAGGTTCGCCGCTATCGCGTCGATCGTAGCGGCAGGATCCAGATAAGCTTTGGCATTTCTGTTCATGTAGGAACGCACCTCGTTCAGGAAGGTTAGCTTCTCAGGGTCTCCATCGAATGTGGGTTTGAAAGGAGGATCTACTATGGGTTGCTGTCTGTCTAAGAGAGTGTGCAACCACCCATACTGTTGCACTAGGTCATGCTGGATTCCTCCTGCCTGATCAGTCCTTGGCAGGGACCCTGGACTGGTGTGATGTCAGTAATGGCAATCAGGACAGGCCTGGTATCGATAACGGTCTGGAGTAGCCCAATGTGGGTATCGGTTGGGGCTATCAGGATATCGGCGATGACCAGGGCTTTTCCTGTGCCAATGGCAGTCTAGGTTAACATGGCGTGAGTACCGGTCAGGGCTTGCATAGAGGCAGCGACGTTCAGGACTAACATACTGATCTTGACAATCAGGGCTGTCATGATGTCGCCAGTGGTCAGGGCTAGTCCGCCACTTTTGATGATCCAGGCTTCGCCTCTGCACTGGACTTGAACTTAAAGCTGTTGGCTTTGGATGTGGGGAGGTGGCCCTAGCTCCAGCTGTGGGACTGGGACTCCTCCTGGACTGGGAACGATCTCGGAAACCATTGTCACCCTGCTCACTGATCAGTAACTGACGGGGTGATCTGCTCCTTGCTTCCCACGTCCAGCCCTTCAAATTTCTCCCTCAAATGCTCGACAGAGTGGCTTCGAATTGCCATCAGGTATTTGCATTCGCCCGAGCCGTAGATGCCACACACTTAGCGCCTCTTCGATCAGGAGAATGTGAGTCGCGGGGGGCAGCCGGTGGACATTCAGCTTCAGTGGCCTTTGTAGAACTCTTCTGCTGGGCCACCTTTGAACACCAAGAGTCTCCACTAGACAAGGCCCATTCCGATGACCAGATCTGCTCCCGCACTTTGGTTTCGCACTTGCCGCTCGAGTTTCCGAAACCACACTCTCTATCAGCGCGATGGCCTGCACTCCATCTGCCGATGTAGCAGTCGTGGCTACGGTGCTGGTGACATGTTCTTCCTTTTTTGCCATCATGGGTTCTTCCCTGAGTCTTTGTCATCCTCCCAAGGCATTGGATAGGCAACCGGAGCTCAGGACTCCGTGGATTTAAAGGGATTTGGAGTCTTGGGTTAATGTCATGGTTCCAATAGATCAGTGGTTCTCAACCGTCCTAATGCTGCAACCCTTTAATACAGTTCCTCATGTTGTGGTGACCCCCAACCATAAAATTATTTTCGTTGCTACTTCATAATTGTAATTTTGCTACTGTTATGAATCGTAATGTAAATATCTGATATGCAGGATGTATTTTCATTGTTACAAATTGAACATAATTAAAGCACCTGAAGGCAGGACAAGAAGCAATGGGTGGAAACTAACCAAGGAGAGAAGCAACCTAGAACTAAGGAGAAACTTCCTGACAGTGAGAACAATTAATCAGTGGAACAGCTTGCCTCCAGAAGCAGTAAATGCTCCAACACTGGAAGTTTTTAAGAAGAGACTGGACTGCCATTTGTCCGAAATGGTGTAGGGTTTCCTGCCTGAGCAGGGGGTTGGACTAGATGACCTCCAAGGTCCCTTCCAACTTTACTACTATTACTATTACTATTTTGGTAGTTCAGTAACACCTGGAAAGTCATAGATGTCCCATCCTAAAGAAAAAGGTACAGGAATAGACTCTGAACTGGTGGTACAGGTCCAAGGGCTCAGGGCCAGGAGTTGGGAGGGGAGGGGGGGAAAGGAGCCCTGAAAGTGGTTTGGCAAGACTCACAAAGGAGCAATTGGTGCCTCCGCACCAGGAAGGAGCTGCTGTTTTTCCCAAAACAGTGCCCAGCAAAGTTGGATTCCTTACAACCCAAATTTGGGTTTGGCCTCGTCCTTCTTTCCTTGCTCCCACCCTTTCTTCATTCTTCCTTTTCTATGACACCCATTTCACTGATACTGTCTCTCTGGGCCCCTTACAATTTAAGAATTTTTTTTAAAAAAATGCCAGAAATGGAATCGACAGACTATAAACCACCATGCTGGCCATCCTGGGGGAGGGGGCTCCTCTCCCGGGTCAGCAGGGCCCTGTCGGGGTCCCAGGCCAAGCAGCTCTCATGGTTCCCATAGATGAAACCATTTAAAAGAACTTCAAGGCAAAGGCTTCTTCCTTAAACATTTTATTTAGGAAACAAAGTATCGGCACTTACATAGGTGAACCCAAGACTGAAATCCCCTCCCTCAGGCTACAAAGGAACAAGTTGAGATTCCAACCTCAAATTACTCTCATAAATCACACTCACCAATTATTTCAAAATGCAGGCTGTCCTCCCAGCTTTTCCACCCCCAAAAACCCTTATCAGGGCTGACCTTGATTCTCACACAGAAGTATTGTTATGGCTAACTGAGGAACTTAACATCCCCCTTCCCCATCCTTCAACTAAAATCTCTAAACTAAATTGTGGCAATGAAGACAAAATGAAAAATGGTTTCAGTTCAGTTTGACAGCAGGGGAGCCCAGTTCTCAGACTCCGCTGGGAGGTCAGGAATAGTCCCAGACTGATTAGGCCCATCCAGGGGTGTCGCTTCTTAGTGACTGGAGAGTGACCTTCTGCTCCCCCACCTGGACCTTCAGGCTTTTGGGGTGCCCCCCTGGCCCCCCTTTCACCTGAAGAGTAGGAAGATGGTCGAATGACCTGCACTCTTTTGCCTGCCCCTCAGCTGAGCAGGGAGGAGGCCAAACCCGGATCCGGCTTGTAAGGGATCCAACCATGCTTGGCACTGTTTTAGGAACAACAACAGCTCCTTCCTAGTGTGGAGGCAACAATTGCTCCTTTGTGAGTCTTGCCAAACCACTTTCAGGGCTCCTTTCCCCCGTTTCCCTCCCATCTCCTGGCCCCGAGCAGAAGCTGGAGGTCCCTTCACTTCAGGGCTGCTGCCTGGACTGGGACAAGGCCGAGACTGGGGGATTCTGGGAGGTGGAGTCCAGGGCGGCTGAAGGGGCCAAGGCTGAGGAAGCACCTTTGAACCCCCAACCCTGGTTCCCAGAGGCCCAGCTTGCTCCATCCCCCCCAAACATCCAGAGGGTAAACCCCATGGCTGGATTTTGCTTGAGCAGCCACCTCCCCCCTAAATAGCCAAGCGAAAGGGCCTCCTGGCCAAGGAACATGGGAGCTATAGTGTAGGACAACGGGTGGAGAACGGCTGATTGTGCTCAGTTGCAAAGCAGAGATGGGGACGGAGGTTGCACACAACCGGTTGCAGGTTGAGGGTGGCAAATGTCCCCCCCCTTGGCTCTGGGTCTTTGATGTGGGGCTGGGGGCTTTCCCCTCTGGCCCTCCCCAGATCAAATATGCCTCCTTTGCTGGGCAGAAAATGGTTCCAGCTGTGCCATCCAGGGGCAAAATCCAGGAAGAGATTTTTCCAAACTGGGGGGGTGGGCAGGACTGAAGCAAAGCAGGTAGCAGCCCCAGCAGTCCTCCAAGCCCCCCCTCCTCCTCCTCTCCTGAAACTCACTCTCTTCTAGCACTGATGATGTTCTCTAGTTGGGTCAGGAAACGTCTGCAAGGAAACACCCAGCTCAGGGATCTGTTCAATCCTGCAGGTTCTGTAGGAAAGTTAGAAAAACCTCGCTGAGAAAAAGGGAAAGTCAGCCTGTCAACAGCAGCCCAAGACCCAGAGGAGGTGGGGGGGATCCCCTTGTCTGGATAATCTCAAGGGGTGGGGGCTAATCATCCATATATCCAGGGTACTTTCCTTTGGATTGCTGCAACGAGCAGGGGCTGGGCTGGATGACCTCAGGGAACATTTCAAACTGTAGGATTCCATCCAGGACATCCGTCCTGGCAGAGATCAAATCTGCCAACTTCTTTTGTGCAAACACAACTACTTCCTGATTGGTAGCCATGAAAATCCATTCTCACACAGAGCCTTTTCTCCCACCGTCCCCCCCCCCCACTGAAATCCACCCCCCTTTCCCTGCCTATAAATGCCTCCAGTCCCCTCAAAGAAGGAAAGCCTGGAGTTTTCTCTGAGAAGACTTGCTACCTGTGGAGGCTGAGGGACAGGTGAGTGGGGCTCTCCCACCTGTGGGCACCTGACAGGTGAGGCCACCTGCATTCCATCACTCCTGTCTCTCTGTCTCTCTCTCTCTCTCCCCACCTGCAGGGATCTCTGCAGGAAATGTCCAGGTTTCAGCAGGGGATCCGTGGGACCCAAAGGGATCTACCAGGGCGATCTCTGGGGAAGAGAGACTTTTGGGAGGCCTTCTGTCCTGTACGTAGCAATGCAGGATGCACTCTGATCCCCCCCCCCCAAGGCTGCTGCCTGGAAAAGGAGGGAGAAACGGGGTCCAGCTGGGCAAGTGAAAAAGTACAAAGCAAAGTGTGGGACTCCCAGCTTGGCCACAGGTTGGACTTCCCCCCATCTCACCCCCTTTCCTCTCTCCCCCCCAGTTCTCTCTGCAGGGAAGGAAAGAAGGCCATGGGGCGATTCCTCTTCGTGAGCTTCGGCTTGCTGGTCGTGTTCCTCTCCCTGAGTGGTGAGTCCGAGCAGGGTCCCTCGTGTCCAGAGAGGCCGAAGCTCTCCCACCTCCAACCCCTTCCTGATTTGACCCCCCCCCCAGAATCCTCTCCCCAAAGTTGCTTTTATTCCTGTTTGGCTCCTTCTGCCATCCAGATCCCACCTTCTCTCTCTGCCCCAAGACTCAGGACTGTGTGCAGCGACACAAAACCCAAGCAAAATTAACACCACTGAAATGCAGAATTAATTAATTAATTGCAATTATAAAGGCTTTCAAGGGCAGCCCCACATCAAGGACATTGATAGGTTGCAACCAAAGTGGGGATAATTCTTGCTAAGTTTGAATGGCTGACGAAGCTTCATGGTTTTTATTTATTCCTGTGTATACTGCCTTCTTCTTTTGTTGTTATTATTATTATTATTAAGTTGAGAGAGAGTGATTGACACCCTGCTTTCGTGACTAAGGTGGGACTAGAACTCCCCGTCTCCTTATGATTGGCCCAGAGCCACCCAGTTCACTTCCAGGGCTAAAGCGGGACTAGAACTCCTGGTCTCTCTAGCCAGGTGCTCTAACCACTAGGCCAAATTGGCTCAGTTGGGACTTGAGGCCCAGGCAGGTCTGCAAAGGTTAATCTGTTCGTGAAGGAGCCCAATTCTGCCCTTGCACCCTTCACGGAATGAAAAAAGAAGCCAGCATGGACAGAGACACACCAGACATGCAGCTTCCAGGGAATTAAACCAGGGTTAATTCTAACTGAGGTTTGGACAATCTGCAAAGGAAGCTGCAAGTCATTTGCAATTTTTTGTCATCAAAGATGTTTGTATCACAGCAGGTTAAGCATGTTCTGCAGACCCAGCTGTCTCCCCCTCTTCCTCCCCCTCCTTCTCCTCCTCCACTCCTCATTGGGTGTCCTGCCTTCCCACACAGGAACTGGAGCTGATTTTGATTGTCCCTCTGATTGGTATGCCTATGATCAGCATTGCTACCAGCTCTTCAATGAACGGATGACCTGGGAAGATGCAGAGGTGAGGGGGTCTTTTTTTGTCCCTGAGGGTCTCCTAGCCCAGGCGGAGGAGACGTGCAGGGAGAGCCTTGCAAAGCCCCCAAGCCCCCTCTGGCTCTGATGGGAGGGAGGGAGGGAGGGAGACTCGGCTGGGGGTCTGGAAAGGGACCCCCGAGAGGCAGATATCCCGGGGACTCTCCCCCTCAGCCCCCTGCAGCTTCCCTTCTCTGGTTATTTTTTAGAAATAACCGAAGGTGGCCAGCACACACAACAGTCCTTCTGCTTTCCCCAGAACAACAACCCTGTGAGGTGGACGGGTCTGAGAGGGAGGGACTGGCCCCAAGTCACCCGGCGACTTCCATGCCTCAGGCGGGACTAGAACTCCCAGCTTCCTGGCTGCTGGCCTGGTGCCTTCCCCACTGGAGCACACTGGGAGGAGAGAGGAGGGAGTTGTGGCAGAGGCCAGAGGAGGGATCAGAGACCCCTCAGAGACCATGTCAGGCTGGAGAAGTGAGGGGCATTGAGGGGGAGGGGATCAGGGAAGGGTCTAGTTCAGTTAAGGCAGCCTCCCCCTTCCTCTTATCCCCCAGGTCTGGACAGCCCTTTGTCCGGAATGACGGAGGGGGTTGGACTAGATGACCTCCGAGGCCCCTTTCCGCTCTGGGAAGCCTGAGTGTGCCTGGAGTTCTCGGGTGCTCTGAAGAGCCGGGCAGTAGAGGGCTTGGGGGTCTCCCCAAATCTTGAAGGCTGAGCTGTGTTTGGCCTCCTCCAAAACCCTTTTTTCTGCTCCTTCCTCTGGGAACCTCGGAGGGGGAGGAGGGGAAGGAGGAGAAGGACGGGGAGGGGGAGATGGAGGAGGAGGGGGAGGAGAGAGGGGGGGAGGGGGAGGAGGAGGAGGAAAGGGGAGGAGGAGGGGGAGGGGGAGAAGGAGGGGGAGGAGGAGGGGGGGAGGAGGAAGGGGAGGAGAGAGGGGGAAGGGGGAGGAGGAGGAAGAGGAGGGAAGGGGAGGAGGAGGGGGGAGAAGGAGGGGTGAGAAGGAGGGGGAGGAGGAGGAAGAGGGGGAGGAGCCCCCTTTGCTTAGCCAGAGGGGCTGCCCCCTGGGACAGGGAACAGGGGTTGAGCGGGGTCTGCAGAGCCCACTGCCCCAAATGCTGGTCCTGCCTTCAGTCCGGGGCCTCTTTGGAGGAGGAGGGGGGTCTGTTCAGGGAGGGCAACCGTGGGGGTCAAGGAGATCCTGAGGGTGGCCAGGATCAGGCAGTCAGATCCCTGCTCTGTTCTCAGAGGCGGAAACACACACACACACACACACACACACACACACACACACACAAAGAGGCAAACATCTGCTTCTCAGCTGAACTACTCCCTTCCTCTCCTCTTCTCTCTCCCAGTGGTTCTGCACGAAGCAGGCGAAGGGCGGGCATCTCGTCTCTGTCAAAAACGCTGGAGAAGCAGACTTTGTGGCCTGGATGGTCACTCAGAACATAGAGAAACCCTTTTACTATGTCTGGATTGGACTGAGGGTTCAAAACAAAGAGAAGGTAGTCCTCAACTTTATGACCACAACTGATTGCAGAATTTCTGTTGCTACGTGAAACATTTGTTAAGTGAGTTTTGCCCCATTTTATAACTTCTTGCCACAGTTGTTAAGTGAGTCACTGTGCTTGGTAAGTTAATAACCCAGTTATTACAAGTCAATCCGGCTCCCCATTGACTTTGCTTGTCAGACGGTCGCAAAAGGGGATCCTGTCATCCTGGGGACACTGTGACCGTCGTAAATACGAGTCAGTTGCCAAGCGTCTGAATTTCGATCCTGTGAGCACAGGGACGTCACAGTGGTTTCAAGTGTGAAAAATGCCCCCCCTTTTTCCAGTGACGTTGTAACTTTGAATGGTCACTAAATGAACTGTTGTAAGTCGAGGACTGGTTGAAGGCCCTCTCTAATACTAATCTTCATCAATTCAACTTTACACTTTCTGAGGAAGTATGTATGTATGCATTTATTTATTTATTTTGAGGGATCCTCCAGTGGGAGGCAGAGGTCTCCCTATTCAATGATCTTGCCTTGGACAACGGCCAAGAGAAGCAAAGCAGAAAACCTTTGCGGCCATCCTCTCTCTCTCCCTCCCTCCCTCCCTCCCTCTCTCTCTTCCTCTCTCCCTCCCTCTCTCTCCCTCTCCCTTCCTCCCTCTCTCCCCCCTCTCTCCCTCTCCCCCTCTCCCTCCCTCCCTCTATCTCTCCCTCTCCCTTCCTCCCCCTCTCTCCCTCTCCCTCTCTCTCTCCCTCCCTCCCTCCCACCCTCTCCCTCCATCTCTCCCTCTCCCTCCCTCTCTTCCTCTCCCTCTCTCCCTCCCTCCCTCTCCCTCTCTCTCCCTCCCTCTCTCCATCTCTCTCTCTCCCTCTTCCTCTCTCTCCCTCCCTCTCTCTGTCCTTTCCCCCCCTCTTCCCTCTCCCTCTTCTCCGATCCCCTCCCTCACCTTCCTCCTCTCCCTCCTCTCTCCCTCCCCTCATCTCCCTCCCCCTCTCCTCTTTTCCCTCCCTCCCTCTCCCTCCCTCTCTCTCCGCTCAGCGGGCCCTCTGTCGGTCGCCCCCCTCATTCCTCCCTCTCAACTGTGCCCTCTCCCTTCTCCCTCGCTCACGCACTCTCTCTCCCTCCCCCTTCGATTTTCCCCTCTTCCGACTCCCTCTCTCTCCCTCCCTCCCTCTCTCTCTCCCTCCCTCCCTCTATCTCTCTCCCTCTCTCTCCCTCCCTTTCTCTCTCTCTTCCGCTCTCCCTCCCTCTCTCTCTCCCGCTCTCCCCCTCTCTCTCCCCTCTCTCTCCCTCCCCTTCTCTCTCCCTCTCTCTCCTGCTCTCCCTCCCTCTTTCTCCCACTTTCCCTCTCTCTCCCTCTCCCCTCCCTCTCTCTCCCTCCCTCCCCTATCTCTCTCTCCCCTCCCCAAATCCTTCCTTCCTCCTGAAGGACCGACTGCGGTCTTGAAGGGCCGGATCCTGCCCTGGCCCCCATCTTGGCCCCCAGGCCTTCCTCCCTCTGGAGGGCCCCTTGGATGGGCTCTCCACTTGGGGGGGGGACTCTGCTGGGCCTTCAGCTCAGGGGCTTTAGAGGGCTGGCCTGGGGGGGGGGCTGTTCTTTCCTCCCCCCTTTTTTTCTATTTAATGAAGAAATTCCTCCCTTCTGTGACCTGCAGGATTTCGTCTCCTGCTCTGTTGGGTTTTCAGCTCTTGGAAGAAGCTCCGTTGTGTACAAAGGAGGGGGGGGGGTTCCCTGGAGTTGAGCTCAGCTCCTGGGGACTTTGTGAAGAGAAAGGTGAATTTCTGGGGACAAGAGCGAAGGAGGTCCTCAAAAGAAGTAACCAAAGATGCCCAGGAGGCTTTTCTCTTCCCGAGTGTCCCCTGGAGCCCTGGGTTCTGCTTCTGCTGCCCCATCCAGGGAGTGATGGGCTTTGGCCCTCTTCCTCTTCCGGAGACCCAGGAGGGTCGTTCGCAGCGGTCACCCCGTTGGGCATTGGGCAAAGTGGCCCCCAAGCTGAGCTGGGGACTCCTCGGACCCCCCCAGGCCCTTTTCTCCTCTTTTCCCTCTGGATCTCCTAACTGTCTCCTCTCCAGGCAGCCCCCAAGTGGGACCCTGCTTAGCTGCTCCGGGTCAGCTGGGGTGATGGGGAGAGAGAGGGAGAAGGAGAGAGAGAGAGGGAGAGGAGGGAGGATACCTTTGCTTTGCCCCTTGAAGCTCTGCCAACTTTTCTGTCTGTGTAGCCAGAGCCCCCTCCTCAGTCGGCTAACGGGGCCTCCTTGTCTTTCCAGCAATGCAACTCGAAGTGGAGCGATGGCTCCAGCGTCAGTTATGACAACTTGATGGATCTATATATTACAAAGTGTAGTGGGCTGAAAAAAGGGACAGGTAAGTCAGTGTGGTGGTGCACATTTTGTTACGTCAAGGAGGATGTGCTTCCCTCCACGAGGACCCCGGGGATCCTTCTCACAACCCCCACCCCTTGGCCACTGGGGACCTTTCTTGACCTCCTGCATCTCTGAGCTGCCTCAGTCCTACCCTCTGCACAGACAAGGGAACACAACACAACCAAGGGAGAAACCATTAAAAACGGGACTGGAGCTCTGTATGAAAACTATTATGGGGCCATCAGCTCATAATGCAACTAACAAGCTCCATCTTAACCTTGTTCCCAAAGGCCATCATTGTCTCAGGGCATCTGGCTTTTTCTTCCTGGTTTGCTTGCTCAGATGTAGATCAATCTTGCAAACCCCCCCCCCCCATTGTGGTGAAAGGAACCTCGGCCACATTTGGTGTGTGTGTGTGTGTGTGTAGAAGAAAAATATTAACACATGTCTCGTCGAATTATAAACCAATCAAAAGAGCAGCTGAAACCCAATTTGGTCTCTGGTGAAGGCACCAGGCTAGAAAGAGGATTTGGGGAATTCTAGTCCCACCTTAGGCGCTAAAGCTGACTGGCTGACTTTGCACCAGCCCCTCCCTTACTCCGCCCAACCCACCTCACAGGGTTGGTGTTGTGGGGAGAAGAGGAGGAGGAAGGTGTGTTGGATATGTTTGCTGCCTTGGGTGAGTTGTAAAGAGGCGGGATAAATATAAAAATTAAATTAAAAAAGAGGTGAAAGAAATGAAAGAAACTTGAGGGCCAGGTAAGTTATCTGGCTCAGAAGAACCTGTTGAACCCCCAGCCTGTTTTAGGGGATGAGAGTCTCCACCTTTGGTGTCTTCATGTCCTCCTGCAAATGAGCCAGGAGCCTCTGAAAAGATCTTCTGGGACTCTCAGGGAATCTCTGCAGGAAGTGATCAAAATTTCTCTTTTTTAATCCAGGGTTTCGTAAATGGTTCGTTGTTAGATGTATAGAAAAGAATCCTTTCGTCTGCAAGTTCCCGCCACAGTGTTAAGATCCGGCTGTGTGAAGTCTGGAGAAGCAAGGAAGCCCCCCATCCCCACACCCCACTCCCACCTGCCGCAATCTCTGCTCTGCCCCCTTTGCTCAGTGGATGCTCTCTGTGGCTGGATCTGGTTTTGCTGCTCCTGATGGGCCAGAAGGTCCAATAAATTCTGCCTAGCATGACTAGCCTTGTTTCTTTGGGGCCCAAAGCTCCAGACCCCCCAGTCTCCTTCGTGGCAGGGCTCGGCTTTAGGGGGGAGGGTGGCTCTTAGGGGGGACCACCCACTGAGGCTCAGATGCTGTCCTCCCCTCCCCCTCCCTGGAACTGAAGGGGGTGAAAACTGCTGGGCCTCAGCACCCCTTCCCTGCCCCACAGCCAATTGGCACCCCCCCTCCAGGCAAGATAGCGGCACCCCGCTAAACAAGGCACGGGGTGGGAGGGTGGGCTGGGTCCAGGAAGCGCTTTCAGGTTGCTGGGTTTTCCAGCTAGCAGCTAAACCCCCACCTCTGGGAATTTGGGGGTCCCTCTCAGGAGCCCCAAGATCCTGAAGAAACGGCATCTTGGTTGTCTCTATTTTCTCCATGGAGCTTAATTGGGCCTCAGGATGGGCCCATCAGGAGGGATTTCCTGGCAAATAGTCTCCCTGGAAACGAAGCCCAGGAATTATGGGAGCAGCTACGAAGATTCAATCATTGGGAAATATAGGAAAAAAGCATACTTTTCACAATATAGATTTTAAGATATGGGGAGAGCTCCTCGGAAGAGTCTGACCCTGTGGGACCCGAGGAAGTGGACAGGGTCCTGGAGCCTATCAGGGCCGCCACCTGTCAGTCAGATCAGAGGTCCCCAACCCCCGCTCTGCGGCCTGTTTGGAACTGGGCCGCAGAAGTGGGCAAGCACGCCGGTGAGGCTGCATTTGTGACAATGGCATCCCTGCACGTGTGAAGCCATCCCTTCTGCCCCCCCCCCCATCACCACTGGTCTGCCGAGCCGGAGGGTTTGCGGACCCCTGAGTTAGATCCTCGTCCCCCCTGGATGGAGAAAGGCTCCAGGGCTTGGACTATCGGCTGGCTCCAGGCAGTGATTGACAGGCAGCTTGAGGGACCGTCTCACCCCACTGGGGTTGGCCCCTCCCACCTATACTGGCAGAGGGCGCCTGGGAATTCCAGCATCTGGGTGGCTCCGGAAGCTTCATGGTTTCCATCCATCCATCCATTCAGTCATTCAGTCATGCATATTTTTGCAACTAACTCAAGGCAAGAGACCCTCCTCCCTCCTGGATGGAGAAAGGCTCCAGGGCGGCTGCGCTTGATTGGTTGGAGAATGCTGGCAATCTGGACTCTGAGGCAATCTTCGCTGTTATTGGTTGCCCTGGGTATAGAGGGGGCGGTTCCCCTTTTTCCCGCCTTTTTTTTTCTATGTGCCCTTTGGTGCTCTGAGATTTACCTCAGGATGCTCCTGTTCGCCCCACCGTCTTGTTTGATGCAAATATAGATGTAAAATATGTTTATTTATATAAAACTACAGTTCCTGTCAGTTTCTCTGACTTCGTTGGAACACCTGCTGTGCAATTCCCTCAAAGGTTACTGGCCCAGAAGTGCCCTGGAGAGCCAGGAGTAAATTCCTCTGAGGTAAAAGTTTGTTTGTGGGCCTGAGGGAGGTTGGGGCCTGTGAAGACAACCCATTGCTGTTACTTGAGTGGGAGGAGGATCTCCTGTGCCTGGCCTGAATATGAATCCAGTTATCTCTCCTGGTCCCTGAAAATGGAGGCGTTTCTGTGGAGGGAGGATTGGGGGACAGCTGTAAGCCGTCCTCCAACCGGTCTCAGTGAGGAGCAGCAAAAGTGAAAGGAGAAAGCCCTAAAAGGGCTGATCACCTGTGGGATGCCCGCAAGAGGTCCCTTGTGGGGGGGGGGGGAGAGAAGCAGATCTGGAGCAGGGGGTGGATTTCTGCTGGGTTCCTTGAATTCTTTGCAGAAATAATAAAGGGGGGATGCAAATACTGCAATTAAAACTCTGAAGCTCCCTGAGCCATTCGGACCAAGCAAGAATTATCCCCGCTTTGCTTGCAACATATCCCGACTACTGCAGCGTCCTTGATGTGGGGCTTCCCTTGAAAGTCCCCCAAAATTGCAGTTTCTGTGGAAGGGAGCAGCCAGGCTGTTGAAGGGGGATCAGGTGGGTCTGTCCTAAGGGATCTCCTCTCGCCTCCCGGGTGCCCCCAAACTGCTCAAGCCCCCAATGGCCGACTGGCTGATCACCTGTGGGACACCCACAAAAGGCCCCTTTGGGTGGGCAGAGAGAGAGGGAGAGAGAGAAGGTGAGAGAGAGGAGAGAGAGAGAGAAGGAGAGAAGGAGAGAGAGAGAGAAAGAGAGGAGAGAGAGAGAGAGAGAGAGAGAGAGAGAGAGGAAGGAGCCATCTGCTTTAGGGGCCTCACCTGTCTGGTGCCCACAGGTGGGAGAGCCATACTCACCTGTCCCCCAGTAGAAAGTCTGCTGGGACGCAACTCCAGGCTTCCCTCCTGCGAGGGGAAGGGAGGCATTTATAGACCAGGAAAAGGGGTGTCTCTTTGGGGGGACGGCAAAGGGAGAGAGAAATGGCTTTGCTTAAGAAGGGAAATTGTGGTCCAGCCACCAGGAGGGAGCCTCTTTGCACAAAACAGCTTTAATCTGACTGTGGATTTACATGCTGCCTAGAGAGATCTCACAGAGAGGCTCCTGAAATTTGGAATGTTCCTTGAGGTCATCCAGTCCAGCCCCTGCTCAGTGCAGCAATCCAAAGGAAAGAACCCTGGATTATCCCCCTTCCCTTTGGGTATCCAGACAAAGGTATTCCCCCCCCCACCTCCTCTGGGTCTGGGGGCTGCTGTTGACAGGCTGACTTTCCCTTTTTCTGAGCGAGGTTTTTCTCACTTCCCTTCAGAACCTGCAGGAATGAACAGCTCCCAGCATCCTCCCAAGGGAGGGCATGGCTGCGTTTCCACAACATGCCCGGACCTCCACCCGGGTAAAGAGAAGGGAATGGCTCAGTGGTAGGATTCAAATATGTGAACAATGGCTTCTCTGTGTGGATGCCACTTCCGGAAGTCCATTCTGGACCTGGGCAACAAACAATTAGCTACCGGTTCTGCCGAAGTGGTGCAAACTGGCTGAATCCCACCACTGGAATGGCTGCTTTGTTCACACAATCTGCTGAATGGGTGGCTGGGTTTGAAGAAACGCTGAACCACAAATCGACCCACTCTGTTTTAATGCAGAATTGTCTGCAAAACCCTCACACAACCTTTAGAATAGAATAGAGCTGGAAGGGACCCTGGAGGTCTTCTAGTCCAGCCCCCTACTCATGCAGGAGAACCTATGCCATCTCAGACAAGTGACTGTCCAGCCTCTTCTTAAAAACCTCCCGTGATGAAGCGTCCACCATTTCTGGAGGCAACTTCTGTTCCTCTGCTTAATTGTCCTCACTGTTAGGAAGTTTCTCCTTAATTCCAGGTTGCTTCTCTCTTTGGCCAGTTTCCAACCATTCTTTCTCATCCTTTCCTTTGGTGCTTTGGAGAATAATTGGACCCCCTCTTCTTTGTGGCAGCCCCTCAAACACTGGAATACTGATATCATATTTCCCCCATTTCTTCTTTTCTTTAGACTAACCAAACCCAAGCCGTTCTTTTTGTATTTTAGTCTCCAGGCCATGAATCATCTCAGTTGCTCAGTTTCTCCTTCTTTCCTTTGGTGCTTTGGAGAAAAACATGACCCCCCCCTTCTTTGTGGCAGCCCCTCAGATACTGGAATACTGCTATCATGTCTCCCCTATTTCTTCTTTTCTTTAGCCTAGCCAGACCCAAGTCCCACAGCCGTTCTTTGTATGTTTTAGTCTCCAGGTCTTGAATCATCTCAGTTGCTCTTCTCTGAACTTTTTCCAAAGTCTCAACATCTTGTTTGTGATATGGTGATGAAAATTGGCTGCAGTATTCCAGGTGTGGCCTCACTAGGCTTTGATAAAGCGGTACGAATACTTCGTGTGATCTTGATTCTCTGCCTCTGTTTATGCAACCCAGGATTGTGTTAGCTTTTCTGGCTGCTGCTGCACACGGCTGGCTCAGGGTCAAGTGATCGTCCACTAGGATTCCCAGGTCCTTCTCATAGTGGCTGTATTTGAGCTGGGTCTCACCTAATCTGCACTTATATCTTTGATTTTTCATGCCTAAATGTAAAACTTTGCTTTTCTCCACATTCAAACTCACTTTGTTGGACAGGGCCCATGGTTCAAGTTTGTCAAGATCTATTTGAATCCTGAGCTTGTCTTCTGGGGTGTTGGCTATTCTTGCCAGTTTGGTGTCATCTGCAAACTTTCACCAATCACTTTTCATATCACCCTTTTAATGTGGGAGTGAACCCCCCCCTCGACTTCCCCAGCTGCACCCAGGTGGAACCCCCCATCCTGGCTTTCTCTCCATGACACACTAAGGCACAGAATAACTAGCCAAGAATTGTGGGTTGTGTTAGAAACTGGTTGGGATATTTCTGAGAGCTGATCAACCTATTGTCTGCATCTGGCTGATGTTTCGCTGCTGTGAGGGGCTCAGCAGGGTCACTTCCGGGGCTGAACTCTCTTTCAAAGCCTTCCTAGAAGCAGCTTATTTTGTTAATTTATGTCTTCCCATTTTGAAGCATCCAATGATTGAAGCTGGCCCACCCTCTGCAGGGAGCAGACACAGCAGCCCAACCATCCTCCCTGAAGCCCCCCTGTCCGACCCCCAAGACGGAGACCCTGGGCCTTCAGGGGGAGACTCTTCTTATCGTATCCCCAGGGGGTTTATTATTATATATCCTAATTATTTATAGACTTGGTCAGGGCAGCTCTGGGCAGCTAACTATCATAACAAATAAAAAGTGTGCAAAGATGTAAATACAATAGTACACACAGTGAAATAAAGGGGGCAATTAAAGATTGGGGAGGGGGAGCAGAATGAGGGGAAGTGGCATCTGTTGTTAATTAATTAACCTCCCCACTGTGATGCTCCCCCATTGAGGTCCCAAGCCCAGCGGCTGAGCTATGTCTTTAGGCCCTTAGAGGAGGACAGGAGGGTTGGGGCCGACCTCATTCTGGGGGGGGGGCAACGGCAGAGAAGGCCCTTCTCCTGGACCCCCCAGCTGGGATTCCCTGCTCCATGGGGCCCACAGCAGGTCTTCTCTGGGGCATGGGTGGGAGGGGCCCTAGTGGGGTGAGAGGGTCCCTCGGGCAGCCTGGACCCCTGCAGTCATCACCACCCCTTGAACTGCATCTGAGATGCCCGATCCGAGAAAGGCCACGACTGGTGCACAACTCAAAGCTACACAAAGGGTAACTGGAGTCTTGCCAGGGTTCAGCCCGTTGTCCCCCATCCAGCCCCCCCCCTCCCAGCCTCCAGGCCCCCAAGAGGGCGGCCAGAGCATCACCTGGGTCTCCAGTGTGGAAATGGAGCGCTGAGAATCCTCCGCGTGCTGCATATACCCCAAACCCTGGTGAGGGGGGAGTCTCGCCTAGTGGTTTCAGGGAGACGCTGAAAAGGAGCGGACGGGGGAGGGAGGGGTGGCTTTGTTAAGGAGGGGGCCAACCAGGGACTCCTTAAAAGGAGGAGGATGTAACTGGCAGGTGGTGGCCCTAATGGCCCCCGGGCCCCTGTCCGCTTCCTGGCTCCCATAGAGAGAATCCATTCCCAGACAGTCCGGCAAGCTCTCTCCCCGGGTCTTCAGATCTGCCTTTCCCAAGGACTGAATCTTCCCAGCTGCTCCCCTCATTCCTGGGCTTCGGTTCCAGGGGAGACTGTTTGCCAGGGAATCCCCCCTGATGGGCCCATCCTGAGGCCCAGTTAGGCTCCATGGAGAAAGTAGAGACAACCGAGGGGCCGTTTCTTCAGGATCTCGGGGCTCCTGAGGGGGACCCCCAAATTCCCAGAGGTGGGGATTTAGCAGCTAGCTGGAAAACTCAACAACCTGACAGCGCTTCCTGGTGCCAGCCTCCCACCCCCGTGCCTTCTTTAGCGGGATGCCGCCATCTTGCCCGGAGGGGGGCCCACGGGTGCCAATAGGCTCTGGGGCAGGGAAGGGGTGCTGAGGCCCAGCAGGTTCCTCCCCCCTTCGATTCCAGAGGAGAGCATCTGAGCCTCAGTGGGTGCCCCCCCTAAGAGCCACCCTCCCCCCCTAAAGCCGAGCCCTGCCAGAAAGGAGACTGGGGGGGGTCTGGAGCTTTGGGCCTCAACCCTCTCCTGGGGGCCCCAAAGAAACGAGGCCAGTCATGCTAGGCAGAATTTATTGGACCTTCTGGCCCATCAGGAGCAGCAGAACCAGATCCAGCCACAGAGAGCATCCATGGAATGACAGGGTACAGAGCAGAGATTGCGGCAGGCGGGGTAGGGGTGGGGGTGTGGGGGCTTCCTTGCTTCTCCAGACTTCACACAGTCGCATCTTCAGACTATGCCTGGAACTTGCAGACGACATTGTGAGTCTTGCTGCAGGCTCTACTTAACCACTGGTTATCAGCTGGGTAGTAAAAGAGAAATTTTGATCACTTCCTGCAGAGATTCCCGGAGAGTCCCAGAAGATCTTTTCAGAGGCTCCTGGCTCATTTGCAGGAGGACATGAAAGTACCACAGGTGGAGACTCTCATCCCCTAAAACAGGCTGGGGTTCAACAGGTTCTTCTAACCCAGATAACGTACCTGGCCCTCAAGTTTCTTTCATTTCTTTCACCTGTTTTTTAATTTAATTTTTATATGTATCCCACCTCTTTACAACTCACCCAAGGCAGCAAACATATCCAACACACCTTCCTCCTCCTCTTTTTCCCACAACAACAACCTTGTGAGGTGGGTTGGGCGGAGAAAGGGAGAGGCTGGTCCAAAGTCAGCCCGTCGGCTTTAGCGCCTAAGATGGGACTAGAACTCCCGGTCTCCTGTTTCCAGCCTGGTGCTTCCACCAGAGACCAAATTGATTTTCAAGCTGCTCTTCTGATTGGTTTATAATTCGACAGGCATGTGTTAATATTTCTCTTCTACACATGCAGACACACACACACACACACACACACACACACACACAATGTGGCCGAGGTTGTTCTCACCGCAATGGGGTGTTGCAAGATTGATCTATATCCGAGCAAACAAACCACGAAGAAAAAGCCAGATGACCTGTGACAATGATGGCCTTTCGGAACAAGGTTAAGATGGAACTTGTTAGTTGTGTTGTGTTGTGTTCCCTTGTCTGTGCAGAGTGTAGGACTGAGGCAGCTCAGAGATCCAGGAGGCCAAGAAAGGTCACCAGTGGCCAAGGGGTGGGGTTGCGAGAAGGATCCCCCGGGGTCCTCATGGAGGGAAGTGCACCCTCTTTGACCTAACACAATGTGCACCACCGCATGACTTACTTGTCTTGGATATGATACACTCAGATTCTTCACTCCAGGCTTTGTAGTCGAGCTTGGTGCCATCGCTCCACTCCAACTTGCATTTCTGGAAAGACAAGGAAGAGCCAATTGAGGAGGGGGCTCTGGATGTGCAGGGTCCAGGGGCAGAGAGAGAAAAGTTGACAGAGTTTCAAGGGGCAGAGCAAGTGTATCCTCTCTCTCTCTCCCTCCCTCTCCCTCCCTCTCTCTCTCTCTCTCTCTCTCTCTCTCCCTCTCTCCCCATCAACCCCAGCTGACTCGGAGCAGCTAAGCAGGGTTCCACTGGGTGACTGCTGGGAGAGGCAACGGTCAGGAGATCCAGAGGGGGAAAAAATAGCCTGGGGGGGTCCGAGGAGTCACCAGCTCAGCTTGGGGGCCACTTTGCCCGATGCCCAACGGGGTGACCCCTCCGAAGGACCCTCCTTGGTCTCCGGAAGAGGAAGAGGTCCAAAGCCCATCACTCCCTGGATGGGGGAGCAGAAGCAGAACCAGGGCTTCAGGGGACACTTGGGAAGAGAAAAGCCTCCGGGGCATCTTTGGTTACTTCTTTTGATGACCTCCTTTGCTCTTGTCCCCAGAAATTCACATTTCTCGTCACAAAGTCTCCAGGAGCTGAGCTCAACTCCAGGGAATCTCCCCCCCTCCTTTGTACACAGCGGAGCTTCTTTCAAGAGCTGAAAACCCAACAGAGCAGGAGAAGAAATCCTTCCCGTAATAGAAACAAGGAATTTCTGCCTTAAATAGAAAAAAGAGGGGAGGAAAGAACAGGCCCCCCCAGGCGAGGCCTCCAAAGCCCCTGAGCTGAAGGCCCAGCAGAGTCTCCCCAGGTGTGGAGGCCATCCAAGGGGCCCTCCAGAGGGAGGAAGGCCTGGAGGCCGAGATGGGGGCCAGGGCAGGATCCAGCCCTTCAAGACCACAGTGGGTCCTTCAGGAGGAAGGAAGGATTTGGGAGGGAGGGAGGGAGGGAGGGAGGGAGGGAGAGGGAGAGAGAGTGGGAGAGAGAGGAAGGGAGAACGGGAGGGAGAGCGGGAGAGAGAGACAGAGGGAGAGAGAGGGAGGGAGAGAGAGAGGGAGGGAGAGCAGGAGAGGGAGGGAGGGAGAGGGAGAGAGAGAGTGGGAGAGAGGGAGGGAGAACAGGAGGGAGAGCGGAAGAGAGAGAGAGAGAGAGAGGGAGGGAGAGAGGGAGGGAGAGCAGGAGAGGGAGGGAGAGAGAGGGAGGGAGAGCAGGAGAGGGAGGGAGAGAGTGGGAGAGGGAGGGAGAACGGGAGGGAGAGCGGGAGAGAGAGACAGAGGGAGAGAGAGAGAGGGAGGGAGAGAGAGAGGGAGGGAGGGAGAGAGAGGGAGAGAGAGGGAGGGAGGTAGTTAAAGGTTTTCTGCTTTGGTTCTCTCTGCCGTTGTCCCAGGCAAGAACATTGAACAGGGAGACCTCTGCTCCCCACTGGAGGACCCACAAAATAAATGAATGAATGAATGAAATAAATAAATAAATAAAAACCTCCTCAGAAAGTGTAAAGTTGAATCTATGAAGATTAGCATTAGAGAGGACCTACATTCCAGATATCCCTCAGTCCAGTCCAGACTAAATCGGCTTTCAAAACTGGGTAGGTGATCGACACCAGAAAATCTGCTTCTTCACTGCTCCGAAAGGAGACCAGATGGCTTCCTTTGTGCTGTTGTGTGCAGAATTTCTGTAAGAGACCAACAAGAAAGAAAGACACGTCAGCTGAGAAGCAGATTTTGTGTATTTGTGTGTATGTGTGTGTGTTTCCACCTCTGAGAACAGAGCAGGGATCTGACTGCCTGATCCTGGCCACTCAGGATCTCCTTGACACCCGCAGTTGCCCTCCCTGAACAGACCCCCCCCCTCCTCCTCCACTGAAGCCAGGAGCAGCCTTTGGGGCAGTGGGCTCTGCAGACCCCGCTCAGCCCCTGCTCCCTGTCCGAAAAGGGGCCTCCTCCCCCTCCTCCTCCCCCTCCTCCCTCCTCCTCCCTCCTCCCCCTCCCTCTCTCTCTCTCCCTCCTCCTCCCCCTCCTCCTCTCCCTCTTCCCCCTCCTCCCTCCTCCTCCTCCCTCTCCTCCTCTTCCCCTGCTTCCTCCTCCCCCTCCCTCCCCCTCCTCCTCCTGTTTCTCCTCCTCCCCCTCCGAGTTTCCCAGAAGAAGGAGCAGAAAAAAGAGTTTTGGATGTGGCCAAACGCAGCTCAGCCTTCAAGATTTGGGGAGACCCCCAAGCCCTCTACTGCCCGGCTCTTCAGAGCACCCGAGAACTCCAGGCACACTCGGGCTTCCCAGAGTGAGAAGGGGCCTCGGAGGTCTTCTAGTCCAACCCCCTCCATCATTCCAGACAAAGGGCTGTCCAGACCTGGGCAATAGGAGGAAGGGGGGGCTGCCTAACTAAACTAGACCCTCCCTAATCCCCCCCAACACTTCTCCAGCCTGACATGCTCTCTGAGGGGTCTCTGATCCCTCCTCCTCTGGCCTCTGCCACAACTCCCTCCTCTCTCCTCCCAGTTTGCTCCAGTGGGGAAGGCACCAGGCTAGCAGCCAGTAAGGTGGGAGTTCTAGTCCCGCCTGAGGCATGGAAGTCGCCGGGTGACTTGGGGCCAGTGCCTCCCTCTCAGACCAGTCCACCTCACAGGGTTGTTGTTCTGGGGAAAAGAGAAGGACTATTGTATGTGCTGGCCACCTTCAGTTATTTCTAAAAAATAAGCAAAGTGGAATAAAAATATTTTTTTTTAAAAGCCACCTTGAGGAAAGCCCTGGGTGGAGATGTGTGGCAGGAGGGCAGGAAAACAAGCCAGGAAAGTCACCAATCCCGGCCCTTCATCGGCCCCAGATGAGGCGGCTGCCCTCCCCCGACCTGATGCCTGGAGGCAGCGGAGGGACCGGCATGGGGGGGGGGGCAGCACAGACGATCCTAGCACCATTTCCTAGCGGAGAAGGGAAGCTGCAGGGGGCTGAGGGGGAGAGTCCCCGGGATATCTGCCTCTCAGGGGTCCCTTTCCAGACCCCCAGCCGAGTCTCCCTCCCTCCCTCCCATCAGAGCCAGAGGGGACTTGGGGGCTTTGCAAGGCTCTCCCTGCACGTCTCCTCCGCCTGGGCTGGGAGACCCTCAGGGACAAAAAAGACCCCCTCACCTCTGCATCTTCCCAGGTCATCTCTTGTTGGAAGACCCTGTAGCAATGCCCTTCATAGGAAGACCAACCCAAGGGACAACAGAAACCAGCTCCAGTTCCTGTGAGGGAAGACAGGACACCCAATGAGGTGAGAAGAGGAGGAGGAGGAGGAGAAGACAGCTGGGTCTGCAGAACAGGCTTAACCTGCTGTGTTGCAAACATCTTTGATGACAATAAATTGCAACTGACTTGCAGCTTCCTTTGCAGATTGTCTAAACCTCAGTTAGAGTTAACCCTGGTTTAATTCCCTGGAAGCTGCATGTCTGGCGTGACTCTGTCCATGTTGGCTGCTTTTTTCATTCCACGAAGGGTGCAAATCCAGATTAACCTTTGCAGACCTGCCTGGGCCTCAAGTCCCAACTGAGCCAATTTGGCCTAGTGGTTAGAGCACCTGGCTAGGAAGCGGGAGACCAGACTGCTTTAGCCCTGGATGTCAGCTTGGTGGCTCTGGGCCAATCACAAGGAGATGGGGAGTTCTAGTCCCGCCTTAGTCACGAAAGCAGGTTGTCAATCATTCTCTTTCAGCTTAATCCACCTCACAGGGTTGTTGTTAGGGCAAAACAGAAGGAGGAAAGAAAATCAGGTATGTTCGCTGCCTTGAATTATTGGTAATAATAATAATAATAATAATAATAATAATAATAATAATAATAATAATAATAAAGGCAGGATACAGAGGAATAAATAAATAAAAACCATGAAGCGCCCTGAGCCATTCAGACTTAGCAAGAATTATCCCCACTTTGGTTGCAACCTATCCAGACTACTGCAAGGTCCTTGATGTGAGTCTCCCCTTGAAAGCCTCCAAAATTGCAATGGCTGGGGAAGGAAGCAGCCAGGCTGGTGACCGGTGCAAAGGAAGGGGGATCCGGTGGGTCTGTCCTAAGGGATCTCCTCTCACCTCCTGGATGCCCCCCAAACTGCTCAATGCGTTTAGAGGCAGATTATCCGTGGGGCTGCCCCCCTGCTCCCCCCTGCGCAGGAAGGGCCCATCTGAAGACGCCCCCAGCAGGGGCTCAGCTCTTCAGCAGATGGGGAAGGGTCTCACCCCTTGAGTGGCTCCCATGGAGAGAAATCCCGAGCAAGACAGGGGGAGGGGCACTAATTTTCATGATCAATGCATGCATTTTCCCCAAGGGTTTTACTTCATTCTTAATTAATTAATTCTGCATTTCAGTGGTGTTAATTTTGCTTGGGTTTTGTATCGCTGCACACAGTCCTGAGTCTTGGGGCAGAGAGAGAAGGTGGGATCTGGATGGCAGAAGGAGCCAAACGGGAATAAAAGCAACTTTGGGGAGAGGATTCTGGGGGGGGGGGGTCAAATCAGGAAGGGGTTGGGGGTGGGAGAGCTTCGGCCTCTCCGGACACGAGGGACCCTGCTCGAACTCACCACTCAGGGAGAGGAACACGACCAGCAAGCCGAAGCTCACGCAGATGAATCGCCCCATGGCCTTCTTTCCTTCCCTGCAGAGAGAACTGGGGGGGGGGCGAGGAAAGGGGGGTGAGATGGGGGGAAGTCCAACCTGTGGCCAAGCTGGGAGTCCCAGACTTTGCGTTGCACTTTTTCACTTGCCCAGCTGGACCCCGTTTCTCCCTCCTTGTTCAGGCAGAAGACTTGGGGGGTCACAGTGGATCCTGCATTGTTACGTACAGGACAGAAGCCCCCCCCCAAAGGCTCTCTTCCCCACAGATCCCCCTGGTAGATCCCTTTGTCCTTGCCTCCCACGAATCCCCTGCTGGAACCTGGACATTGCCTGCAGCCCCCTGAAAGAGGTCCCTGCAGGTGGGGAGAGAGAGAGAGAGAGAGAGAGAGAGAGAGAGAGAGGCAGGAGTGATGGAATGCAGGGGGGGTCTCACCTGTCAGGTGGGCACAGGTGGGAGAGCCCCACTCACCTGTCCCTGGGCCTCCACAGGTAGCAAGTCTGCTCAGAGGAAACTCCAAGCTTCCCTCCTGCAAGGGGAAGGGAGGCATTTATAGGCCAGGAAAGGGGGGTGGATTTCTGTGGGGGGGGGGAAGTGGGAGAAAAAGCTCTGTGTGAGAATGGATTTTGGTAGCTACCGATCAGGAAGTAGTTGTGTTTGCACAAAAGAGTTGACGGATTTGATCTCTGCCAGGACGGATGTCATTGATGGAATCCTACAGTTTGAAATGTTCCCTGAGGTCATCCAGCCCAGCCCCTACTGGGTGCAGCAATCCAAAGGAAAGCACCCCAGATACGTGGCTGATTAGCCCCCACCCCTTGAGGTTATCCAGACAAGGGGATCCCCCCACCTCCTCTGGGTCTTGGGCTGCTGTTGACAGGCTGACTTTTCCTTTTTCTGAGTGAGATTTCTAACTTTCCTACAGAACCTGCAGGAATGAACAGATCCCTGAGCTGGGTGTTTCCTTGCAGACGTTTCCTGACCCAACTGGAGAACATCATCAGTGCTAGAAGAGAGTGAGTTTCTGGAGAGGAGGGGGGAGAAGGGGAGGGGAGAGGAGGACTGATGGGGCTGCTACCTGCCATGCTTCAGTCCTGCCCACCCCCCCAGTTTTGAAAAATCTCTTCCTGGATTTTGCTCCTGGAGTGCACAGCTTGAACTGTTTTCTGCCCATGTCAGCAGAGGAGGCATATTTGAACTGGGGAGGGACGGGGGGGGGCAGCCCCAGCCCCACATCAAAGACCCAGAGCCAAGGGGGGGACATTTGCCACCCTCAACCTGCAACCGGTTATGTGAAACCTCTGTCCCCATCTCTGCTTTGCAACTGAGTAGAATCAGCCATTCACCACCCGTTGCCCTGCACTACAGCTCCCATGTTCCTTGGCCAGGAGGCCCTTTCACTTGACTTCTTGGGGGGGGGGAGGTGGCTGCTCAAGCAAAACATATCCTTGGGGTCGACTCTCTTGGTGTTTGGGGGGGACAGAGCAAGCTGGGCCTCTGGGAACCAGGGTCGGGGGTTCAAAGGTGCTTCCTCAGCCTTGGCCCCTTCAGCCGCTCTGGACTTCACCTCCCAGAATCCCCCAGTCTTGGCCTTGCCCAGTCCAGGCAGCAGCCCTGAAGTGAAGGGACCTCCGGCTTCTGCTCAGGGCCAGGAGTTGGGGGGGGGGAGGGAGCCCTGAAAGGGGTTTGGCAAGATGCACAAAGGAGCAATTGTTGCCTCCACACCAGGAAGGATCTGCTGTTGTTCCCAAAACAGTGCCCAGCAAGGTTGGATCCCTTACAAGCCGGATCCCCGTTTGGCCTCCTCCCTGCTCAGCTGAGGGGCAGGTGGAAGACAGGAGGGGCTGCTGGGCCCTTGGCCAGGTCATTCAACCATCTTCCCTCCCCCTCGGGTGAAAGGGGGGCAGGGGGGCACCCCGAAGGCCTGAAGGTCCAGGTGGGGAGGGCACAAGGTCTATCTCTCTGGTCACTAAGAAGCGACACCCCTGGATGGGCCTAATCAGTCCGGGACTATTCCTGACCTCCCAGCGGAGTCTGAGAACTGGGCTCCCCTGCTGTCAAACTGAACTGAAACCATTTTTCATTTTGTCTTCATTGCCACAATTTAGTTTAGAGGTTTTAGATGAAGGAGGGGGGAGGGGGATCTTAAGTTCCTCAGTTAGCCATAATAATACTTCTGTGTGAGAATCAAGGTCAGCCCTGATAAGGGTTTTGGGGGTGGAAAAGCCTTTTGAAATAACTGGTGAGTGTGATTTATGAGAGCCATTTGGGGTGGGAATTGCAACTTGTTCCTTTGTAGCCTGAGGGAGGCGATTCAGTCTTGGGTTCACCCATGTAAGTGCCAATACTTTGTTTCCTAAATAAAATGTTCTTTAAGGAAGAAGCCTTTGCCTTGAAGTTCTTTTAAATGGTTTCATCTATGGGAACCATCAGAGCTGCTTGGCCTGGGACCCCGACAGGGCCCTGCTGACCCGGGAGAGGAGCCCCCTCCCTCAGGATGGCCAGCATGGTGGTTTATAGTCTGTCTCTTCCATTTCTGGCATTTTTTAAAAAGTTTTCTTAAATGGTAAGGGGCCCAGAGGGACAGTATCAGTAAGATGGGAGGCATAGAAAAGGAAGAACAAAGAAAGGGAGGGAGGGAGGGAAGGAGGAAGGAAGGACGATGCCAAACCCAAATCCGGGTTGTAAGGAATCCAACTTTGCTGGGCACTGTTTTGGGAACAACAGCAGCTCCCTTCCTGGTGTGGAGGCAACAATTCCTCTTTTGTGAGTCTTGCCAAACCACTTTCAGGGCTCCTTTCCTCCCCCCCTCCCTTCCCATCTCCTGGCCCCGAGCAGAAGCCGGAGGTCCCTTCACTTCAGGGCTGCTGCCTGGACTGGGACAAGGTTGAGACTGGGGGATTCTGGGAGGTGAAGTCCAGGCTGCCTGAAGGGACCAAGGCTGAGGAAGCACCTTTGAACCCCCGACCCTGGTTCCCAGAGGCCCAGCTTGCTCCATCCCACCCCAAACACCCAGCAAGTCAACCCCATGGCTGGGTTTCGTTTAAGCAGCCACTTCCCCCCTAAATAGCCAAGTGAAAGGGCCTCCTGGCCAAGGAACATGGGAACTGTAGTGCAGGGCAACAGGTGGTGAATGGCTGATTCTGCTCAGTTGCAAAGCAGAGATGGGGAAGGAGGTTTCACACAACTGGTTGCAGGATGAGGGTGGCAAATGTCCCCCCCCCCTTGGCTCTGGGTCTTTGATGTGGGGCTGTGGGCTTCCCCCCCCCCCGGTCTCTCCCCACCTCAAATATGTTCAAGCCATGATATCCACGGGCAAAATCCAGGAAGAGATTTTTTCAAACTGGGGGTGGGACAGGAGTGAAGCATGGCAGGTAGCAGCCCCATCAGTCCTCCTCTCCCCGGACTCCTCCTCCTCTCCAGAAACTCACTCTCTTCTAGCATTGATGATGTTCTCTAGTTGGGTCAGGAAACGTCTGCAAGGAAACACCCAGCTCAGGGATCTGTTCATTCTGGCAGGTTCTGAAGGAAAGTTAGAAAAATTGAAAGTCAGCCTGTTAATAGCAGCCCAAGACCCAGAGGAGGTGGGGGGGATCCCCTTGTCTGGATAACCTCAAGGGGTGGGGGCTAATCAGCCACGTATCTGGGGTGCTTTCCTTTGGATTGCTGCACCCAGTAGGGGCTGGGCTGGATGACCTCAGGGAACATTTCAAACTGTAGGATTCCATCAGTGACATCCGTCCTGGCAGAGATCAAATCCGTCAACTCTTTTGTGCAAACACAACTACTTCCTGATCGGTAGCTACCAAAATCCATTCTCACACAGAGCTTTTTCTCCCACTTCCCCCCCCCCACAGAAATCCACCCCCCCCTTTCCTGGCCTATAAATGCCTCCCTTCCCCTTGCAGGAGGGAAGCTTGGAGTTTCCTCTGAGCAGACTTGCTACCTGTGGAGGCCGAGGGACAGGTGAGTGGGGCTCTCCCACCTGTGCCCACCTGACAGGTGAGACCCCCCCTGCATTCCATCACTCCTGCCTCTCTCTCTCTCTCTCTCTCTCTCTCTCTCTCTCTCCCCACCTGCAGGGACCTCTTTCAGGGGGCTGCAGGCAATGTCCAGGTTCCAGCAGGGGATTCGTGGGAGGCAAGGATAAAGGGATCTACCAGGGGGATCTGTGGGGAAGAGAGCCTTTGGGGGGGGGCTTCTGTCCTGTACGTAACAATGCAGGATCCACTGTGACCCCCCCAAGGCTGATGCCTGGAAAAGGAGGGAGAAACGGGGTCCAGCTGGGCAAGTGAAAAAGTGCAACGCAAAGTCTGGGACTCCCAGCTTGGCCACAGGTTGGACTTCCCCCTATCTCACCCCCTTTCCTCTCTCCCCCCCCCAGTTCTCTCTGCAGGGAAGGAAAGAAGGCCATGGGGCGATTCCTCTTCGTGAGCTTCGGCTTGCTGGTCGTGTTCCTCTCCCTGAGTGGTGAGTCCGAGCAGGGTCCCTCGTGTCCGGAGAGGCCGAACCTCTTGCATCTGAACCCCTTTCCTGATTTGACCCCCCCAGAATCCTCTCCCCAAAGTTGCTTTTATTCCTGTTTGGCTCCTTCTGCCATCCAGATCCCACCATCTCTCTCTGCCCCAAGACTCAGGACTGTGTGCAGCGATACAAAACCCAAGGAAAATTAACACCTCTGAAATGCAGAATTGATTAATTAAGAATGAAGTAAAACCCTTGGGGAAAATGCATGCATTGATCATGAAAATTAGTGCCCCTCCCCCTGTCTTGCTCGGGATTTCTCTCCATGGGAGCCACTCAAGGGGTGAGACCCTTCCCCATCTGCTGAAGAGCTGAGCCCCTGCTGGGGGCGTCTTCAGATGGGCCCTTCCTGCGCAGGGGGGAGCAGGGGGGCAGCCCCACGGATAATCTGCCTCTAAACGCATTGAGCAGTTTGGGGGGCATCCAGGAGGTGAGAGGAGATCCCTTAGGACAGACCCACCGGATCCCCCTTCCTTTGCACCGGTCACCAGCCTGGCTGCTTCCTTCCCCAGCCATTGCAATTTTGGAGGCTTTCAAGGGGAGACTCACATCAAGGACCTTGCAGTAGTCTGGATAGGTTGCAACCAAAGTGGGGATAATTCTTGCTAAGTCTGAATGGCTCAGGGCGCTTCATGGTTTTTATTTATTTATTCCTCTGTATCCTGCCTTTATTATTATTATTATTATTATTATTATTATTATTATTATTATTATTATTATTATTATCAATCATCGCACAATCAGCCAGATGTTCAGACTGGATTTGGCATTTTGTCTACCTATCGAATCCTTACCCAGGACCTGGGATAGGCAGATGTAGATGTTTGATGGTATTACAGGTATTGTCGCAGGATGGAAGCAGTTCCTAGTAAGGCCGCCTTTTGCAATTGACTAATAGCGAATTTGTCAATGCCGATGAAGGTGTTCAAGTGGTGCTCCAGTTGTTTTGGGATTGCACCCAAGGCGCCTATCACTATTGGTACTACCCTTGCTTGCTTTTGCCACAGTCTTTCTATTTCTATATTATTATTCTCAATCATCGCACAGTCAGCCAGATGTTCAGACTGGATTTGGTATTTTGTCTACCTATCGAGTCCTTACCCAGGACCTGGGATAGGCAGAGGTGGATGTTTGATGGTATTACAGGTATCGTCGCAGGATGGAAGCAGTTCCTAATAAGGCCGCCTTTTGCAATTGACTAATAGCAAATTTGTCAATGCCAATGGTGTTCAAGGGGTGCTCCAGTTGTTTTGGGATTGCGCCCAAGGAGCCTATGACTATTGGTACTACCCTTGCTTGCTTTTGCCACAGTCTTTCTATTTCTATTTGTAGGTCTTTGTATTTTGTTATCTTCTCCAGTTCTTTCTCTTCTATTCTGCTGTCTCCAGGCACTGCCACGTCCACTATCCAGACTTTTTTGTCTTTCTTATCGACAATTGTTAAGTCTGGGGTGTTATGTTGCAGGTGCTTGTCTGTTTGAATTCTGAAGTCCCAGAGCAGTTAATTTTATCATTTTCTATGACTTTCTCTATTTTATGATCCCACCAGTTTTTGCTTACAGGCAAATGATATTTTTTGCAGATCTTCCAATGCACCATTGTTGCTACTTTGTCATGCCGCTGCTTGTAATCAGTCTGTGCAATCTTCTTGCAACAGCTTACCAAGTGGTCCACTGTTTCTTCAGCTTCTTTGCATAGGCGGCACTTACTGTCTGTTGCTGTCTTCTCAATTTTGACTTTGTATGCATTTGTCCTTAAGGCTTGGTCTTGTGCAGCCAGAATTAGTCCCTCGGTCTCTTTCTTCAATTTTCCTGCTCTTAGCCATTGCCAGGTTTTATTATTATCTGCTTTCCCAGCTATTTTTTTCATGTATTGGCCATGTAGTGCTTTGTCTTCCCATGCCTCTATTCTGTTCTTCATTTGGTCTTTCTTGTAGGCCAGTTTGGTCTCTCCAGTAGTAGTAAGCCTTCCTGATATACTAATTTCAGTGCATCTTCATCATTGTTCTTCAGATATTCTTCCAAAGCCATTTTTTCTTCTTCAACCATCTGATGTACTTGTAGCATTCCACGCCCACCTATTTGCCTTGGTAGATAAAGTCTATCAATGTCACTGCGTGGATGAAGGGCATGATTCATTGTCATTATTTTTCTGGTCTGCCTATCCATTGCTTTTAGTTCTGCTTGAGTCCAGTCCACTATTCCAGCTGTGTACCTAATGACTGGGATTGCCCAGGTGTTGATTGCCTTTATGGTATTTCCTCCATTGAGTTTGGACTTTAAGATCTTCTTCACTCTCTTGATGTATTCACCTCTAATCTTTTTCTTGACTTCAGTGTGCTTGATGTTGTCAGCTTGAAGGATACCCAAGTATTTGTAGTATTCTTCCTCATCCAGACTCTTAATGTTATTTTCGTGGGGCATCTTGATTCCTTCAGTTTTCACTATTTTTCCTTGTTTGATCTTGTTGGACTTGATCTGTAGTAACAGATCATTATTTCTTTGTTTCCATCACTGTGTATCTGCGACGGGTAAACACCTTTTCTTCCAGTAGTTCTGCAGCTGCTGGCCCTGGTTGCTCAGCCAACAGTCCTGAGTCCTGTAACCCATTTTTCACCAGATATCCAGGAACTCCAATATCTAGTGCGGACCTTGTTAACCCGGGCGACGTCCGAGCCGGTATGGCATTCTGAAATTTACGTCTCACCATATTTTTTATGGGAGAGACACTCTTTGTCTGACTCCTCTGATGAGACCTGTCCAGTATGGTTGAACCTCTGGCATAGCTCTCATCTTCCTCAGAGTACACAAGCCCCACAACCACGTCAAGGTAGTGCCTCACTGGGGGGTAGTGCCTCATTATTATTATTATTATTATTATTATTATTATTATTATTATTATTATTATTACCAATAATTCAAGGCAGCGAACATACCTGATTTTCTTTCCTCCTTCTGTTTTGCCCTAACAACAACCCTGTGAGGTGGATTAAGCTGAAAGAGAATGATTGACAACCTGCTTTCGTGACTAAGGTGGGACTAGAATTCCCCGTCTCCTTGTGATTGGCAGAGAGTCACCCAGCTGACTTCCAGGGCTGAAGCGGGACTAGAACTCCTGGTCTCCCGCTTCCTAGCAAGGTGCTCCAACAACTAGGCCAAATTGGCTCAGCTGGGACTTGAGGCCCAGGCAGGTCTGCAAAAGTTAATCTATTCATGAAGGAGCCCATTTCTGGCTTTGCACCCTTCACGGAATGAGAAAAGAAGCCAGCATGGACAGAGTCACGCCAGACATGCAGCTTCCAGGGACTTAAACCAGGGTTAACTCTAACCGAGGTTTGGACAATCTGCAAAGGAAGCTGCAAGTCGGTTGCAATTTATTGTCATCAAAGATGTTTGCAACACAGCCGGTTAAGCCTGTTCTGCAGACCCAGCTGTCTCCCCCTCCTCCTCCCCCTCCTCTTCCCCTTCCCCTCCTCCTCTTCTTCCTCCTCCCCCTCCCCCATCCTCCATACCCCCTCTTCTCATTGGGCTTCATGTCTTCCCACACAGGAACTGGAGCTGATTTCGATTGTCCCTCTGGTTGGTCCGCCTATGATCAGTATTGCTACCAGATCTTCAAGCATCTCAGGACCTGGGAAGATGCAGAGGTGAGGGGGTCTTTTTTTGTCCCTGAGGGTCTCCCAGCCCAGGCGGAGGAGGGATCAGAGACCCCTCAGAGAGCATGTCAGGCTGGAGAAGTGAGGGACGTTGGGGGGATCAGGGAGGGGTCTAGTTCTGTTCTGCACCCCCCCTTCCTCCTATCGCCCAGGTCTGGACAGCCCTTTGTCTGGAATGATGGAGGGGGTTGGACTAGAAGACCTCCAAAGCCCCTTCTCGCTCTGGGAAGCCTGAGTGTGCCTGGAGGTCTCGGATGCTCTGAAGAGCCAGGCCGTAGAGGGCTTGGGGGTCTCCCCAAATATTGAAGGCTGAGCTGCCTTTGGCCACCTCCAAAACCCTTCTTTCTGCTCCTTCTTCTGGGAAACTTGGAGGGGGAGGAGTAGTGGGGGGAGGAGGAGGAGGAGGGGGTGGAGGAGGAAGGGGTGGAGGAAGAGGGGGAGGAGGAGGGGGGATGGAGGAGGAGGGGGAGGAGGAGGAGGGAAGGGGAGGAGGAGAAGGAGGGGAAGGGGGGAGGAGGGGGGGAGGAGGAGGGGGAGGAGTAGGCCCCTTTGCTGAGCCAGAGGGGCTCCCCCCTGGGACAGGGAGCAGGGGTTGAGCGGGGTCTGCAGAGCCCACTGCCCCAAAGGCTGCTCCTGGCTTCAGTCCGGGGCTTCTGTAGAGGAGGAGGGGGGGGTCTGTTCAGGGAGGGCAACTGCTGGTGTCAAGGAGATCCTGAGGGTGGCAGGATCAGGCAGTCGGATCCGTGGAAACACACACACACACACACACACACACACACACAGATAACCCACCACATAGACCAGTGATTCTCAACCTTTCTAATGCCGTGACCCCATAATACAGTTCCCCATGTTGTGGTGACCCCCAAGTGGATGTGGCCACCAATAAGAGGGAGTAGGACAGCTAGGGAAAAGGGAAAAAAATGGTTTGGCGACCCCCGTGAAATGGTCGTTCGACCCCAAATGGGGTCCCGACCCACAGGTGGAGAACCGCTGACATAGACAGAAACCTGCTTCTCAGCTGAACGACTCCCTTCCTCTCCTCTTCCTCTCTCCCAGAGGTTCTGCTCGCAGCAGGCGAAGGGCGGGCATCTCGTCTCTATCGAAAGCGACGGAGAAGCAGACTTTGTGGCCCAGCTGGTCGCTGAGAACATAAAGACAGACGAAAACTATGTCTGGATTGGACTGAGGGTTCAAAACAAAGGACAGGTAGTCTTCAACTTACCAACACAACTGAGTCCAGAATTTCTGTTGCTAAGGGAAACATTTGTTAAGTGAGTTTTGCTCCATTTTGTGACTTTTCTGCCCACAGCTGGTAAATGAATCACTGTAGTGAAGTTAGTAACATGTTATTCAATAAATCCAGCTTGCTTGTCAGACGGTCGCAAAAGGGGATCCTGTCATCCTGGGGACACTGTGACCGTCGTAAATACGAGTCAGTTGCCAAGCGTCTGAATTTTGATCCTGCGAGCACGGGGACGCCACAGTGGCTTCAAGTGTGAAAAATGCCCCCCCTTTTTCCAGTGATGTTGTAACTTTGAATAGTCGCTAAATGAACTGTTGTAAGTCGAGGACTGGTTGTAGGCCCTCTCTAATGATAATCTTTATCGATTCCCCTTTCCTGATTCTAAAGGTTTGTGGTTTTGTTCTGGAAGAATCTCCCAGTGGGAAGTAGAGGTCTCCCCATTCAATGTTCCTGCCTGGGACATCGGCAGAGAGAACCAAAGCAGAAAAGCTTTATTCCCATCCTCCCTCCCTCCCTCCCTCCCTCCCTCCCTCTCTCTCTCTCTCCCGTTCTCTCTATCTCCCTACCTCTCCCTCTCTCTGTCTCTCTCTCTCCCTCTCTCTGTCTCTCTCTCTCCCCGTCTCTCTCTCTCTCCCTCCCTCCCTCTCTCTCTCTCTCTCTCTCTCCCCTCCCCAAATCCTTCCTTCCTTCCTGAAGGACTGACTGCGGTCTTGAAGAGCCGGATCCTGCCGAGGCCCCCATCTCAGCCTCCAGCCTTCCTCCCTCTGGAGGGCCCCTTGGATGGCCTCCACACCTGGGGAGACTCTGCTGGGCCTTCAGCTCAGGGGCTTTGGAGGCCTGGCCTGGGGGGGCTGTTCTTTCTTCCCCCGTTTTTCTATTTAATACAGAATTTCCTCCTTTCTGTGACCTGCAGGATTTTGTCTCCTGCTCTGTTGGGTTTTCAGCTCTTGGAAGAAGCTCCACTGTATACAAAGGAGGGGGGGGAGATTCCCTGGAGTTGAGCTCAGCTCCTGGGGACTTTTTGGAGAGAAACGTGAATTTCTGGGGACAAGAGCAAAGGAGGTCATCAAAAGAAGTAACCAAAGACGCCCCGGAGGCTTTTCTCTTCCCAAGTGTCCCCTGAAGCCCTGGGTTCCACTTCTGCTCCCCCATCCAGGGAGTGATGGGCTTTGGCGCTCTTCCTCTTCCGGAGACCAAGGAGGGTCCTTCGGAGGGGTCACCATGTTGGGCATCGGGCAAAGTGGCCCCCAAGCTGAGCTGGGGACTCCTCGGACCCCCCCAGGCCCTTTTCTCCTCTTTTCCCTCTGGATCTCCTGACTGTCTCCTCTCCAGGCAGCCCCCACGTGGATCCCGGCTTAGCTGCTCCGGGTCAGCTGGGGTGGATGGGGAGAGAGAGGGAGAAGGAAAGAGAGAGATAGAAAGAGAGAGAGGGAAGGAGGGAGGATACATTTGCTCTGCCCCTTGAAGCTCTGCCAACTTTTCTGTCTGTGTAGCCAGAGCCCCCTCCTCAGTCTGTCTGTGTAGCCAGAGCCCCCTCCTCAGTCGGCTAACGGGGCCTCCTTGTCTTTCCAGCAATGCAGCACGAAGTGGAGCGATGGCTCCAGCGTCAGTTATGAGAACCTGCTTAAACCATTTTCCAAAAAGTGTTTTGGGCTGAAAAAAGAGACAGGTAAGTTAGTGTGGTGGTACACATCATTGTGTTACATCAAGGAGGGTGCGTTTCCCTCCATGAGGACCCCAGGGATCCTTCTCGCAACCCCCACCCCTTGGCCACTGGGGACCTTTCTTGGCCTCCTGGATCTCTGAGCTGCCTCAGTCCTACCCTCTGCACAGACAAGGGAACACAACACAACCATGGGGGAAACCATTAAAAACGGGACTGGAGCCCTATATGAAAATTGTTACGGGGCCAATTATAGACCTATATCTCTCTTGAATGTAGATTATAAGATTTTTTCGAAAATTTTAGCTAATAGATTTATGATTGTGTTGAATCAATTAATACACATGGACCAAACTGGTTTTATAACTGGAAGGTATATGAAAAATAATGTTAGACAAATTATTAACTTAATAGAATATCTGGATAAGAATAATCAAATCTCTGTAGGATTGATATTTTTAAATGCTGAAAAAGCTTTTGATCAATTAAATTGGCAATTTATGTTAAGATTGGTCGAGGAAATGAATTTTGGAGATAAAATTTTACGGGCCCTTCGAGCCATTTATCAAAAATAAACGGCACAACTTATAGTTAATGGAGGTTTATCAGAGGTATTCCCAATTGAAAAGGGGACCAGACAGGGTTGTCCATTGTCCCCATTGCTGTTTGTTTTAACTTTGGAAATTTTATTGATCAAAATTCAGGAATCATCGAAGATAAAAGGAATAGAAATTAATAAAAAAGAATATAAACTAAGGGCTTTTGCAGATGATCTAGTTGTTACATTATCTCAACCAACTTATTCTATAACGGAGTTGTTACAATTGATAAATCAATATGGACAAGTTTCAGGCTTTAAAATTAATAATAATAAGACTAAAATATTGCCTAAGAATATGACCAATTTGGATAAGGAGACCTTGGTTAGATTGACAGGTTTTGAGGTTGTTAATAAGGTAAAATATCTGGGGGTTATTTTATCAGCTTCTAATGCAAAACTGTATAAAAATAATTATGAAATGTTGTGGGTTAAAATACAGAAGGATTTGGATAATTGGAAAAAGCTGCAATTGTCCCTTTTGGGGAGAATAGCAGCGATTAAAATGAATGTTTTGCCAAAATTTCTTTTTTTATTTCAAATGATACCTATTTTAAAGAAAGAAGCAAATTTAGATGAGTGGCAGAAAGGTATCAATAAATTTATCTGGACAGGGAAAAAAACAAGAGTAAAACTTAAAATTATACAAGATATACGAGAGAGAGGTGGACTCAAGGTACCGGATCTGAAATTGTATTATGATGCTGTGGTTTTGACATTAATCAGTGACTGGGTTAACTTAACAAATGTAGATATACTCCTTTTGGAGGGATGGGATTTACTGTTTGGATGGCATGCCTATTTAATTTATAATAAAAAGGTCGATAGGGTTTTTAAATCTCATATTTTAAGAATTTCTTTACTTCGGGTTTGGAAGAAATATTATAGAAGTGACTCAAGAATTCCATTATGGGCTATTCCATGGCATGCAATAGAAGGAATAAGGAGAGGAGTTAAGATGGATACTATTTCTTATACACAATTACTTAAGTGGGATGGTAAAAATTGGCAATTAAAATCTATGGATGAATTAGTACAAGAAAATATTATCTATTCTTGGTTTCAATACAGACAACTATCAGAAAGGTGGAAGATAGATTATCAGGTGGGCTTGTTTAGAGAGGATGAGAATCTGTTAAAACAAATTAGAGATCAAAGTCGAACTCATATTAAAAGAATTTATGGTGTGTTAGTGGAATTAGATTCAGAATCAGAGTTAGTTAAAGACTGTATGGTTAAGTGGGCACAAAATGTTGATGAACCGATTTTATTAGATACATGGGAGATTATTTGGGTGAGGAATGTCAAATTCACACAAGCCCAGAATTTACGGGAAAATTTTTATAAAATGTTTTATAGATGGCACCTTGATCCACAAAAAATGTCTCGTATGTATTCAAACCTGCAGCCTAAATGTTGGAGATGTGGTTGTTTGGATGCCACATATTATCATATTTGGTGGTCATGTAAAAGTATTAAAGCTTTTTGGATTAAGATATGGTGGAATATTCAAAGAATTTTTAAAAGGAGGATAAAATTTACTCCACAACTGTTTTTGTTGGGTATTGTCTCGGATTGTGATGATAAAGAGATTATTTTAATGTTAAATTTAATTACTGCGGCTAGGTTGTTAATAGGGCAATATTTGAAGAAGGAATCTTTGCCTACTTTGCAAGAATGGTTTTTTAAAGAATCTTATCTAGCGGAAATGGCAAAAATTTCGGCTTTCTTGAAAGATCAATCGCAAGAGAAGTACCTCTTGGTGTGGAAAAGATGGATAAATTTTATACAATATAAGTATGATATAAGAAAATACCATCTAGCTTTTGAATAATTTATATTTAAAGTTTAAGATATTATTTAGAAGTGTAATTATTATTATTATTATTATTTTATTCCCTCTCTGTTTTTTATATATAATGGAGTTAAAGTATGTTATAATCTGTTTATTGAGTGTAATGATATTGGTTTAAGGTTCATTTGGATTTAAAACTTTTTTCTTTTAAGTTCTAGTTAAGCCTGTATTCAGCTCTGGGAAGAATGGGGGAGGGTTTTGGGGAGGGTTGGGAGGGATTGGGGAAGGGGTTTTTATTGTAAAATTTTAAAACTTTTTAATAAAAAAAAAATTGTTACAGGGCCATCAGCTCATAATGCAGCTAACAAGCTCCATCTTAACCTTGTTCCGAAAGGCCAGCATCGTCACAGGGCATCTGGCCTTTTCTTCCTGGTTTGCTTGCTCAGATATAGATCAATCTTGCAACCCCCCATTGTGCTGAGAAGAACCTCGGCCACATTTTGTCTGTGTGTGTGTGTGTGTGTAGAAGAGAAATATTAACACATGCCTGGTCGAACTATAAACCAATCAAAACAGCAGCCTGAAAGCCAATTTGGTCGCTAGTGAAGACACAAGGCTAGAAACACGAGACCGGGAGTTCTAGTCCCACCTTAGGCGCTAAAGCCGACTGGCTGACTTTGGACCGGCCCCTCCTTCAACACAGGATTGTTGTGAGGAAAAGAGGAGGAGGAAGTGTGTTTGCTGCATTGGGTTAGTTGTAAAGTAAAGAGGTGGGATACATATAAATAAATAAAAATAAATAAATTAAAAATGAGACAGACGAAATGAAGGAAATTTCATGGCCAGGTAAGTTTTCTGGCTCAGAAGAACCTGTTGAACCCCAGCCTGTTTTAGGGGATGAGAGTCTCCACCTGTGGTATCTTCATGTCCTCCTGCAAATGAGCCAGGAGCCTCTGAAAAGATCTTCTGGGACTCTCAGGGAATCTCTGCAGAAAGTGATCAAAATTTCTCTTTTTATCCAGGGTTTCGCACGTGGCGCAATGTTTACTGTGCACAACGAAATCTTTTCATGTGCAAGTTCCCACCAGAGTGTTAAGATGCAGCTGTGTGAAGTCTGGAGAAGCAAGGAAGCCCCCCACCCCCACACCCCACTCCCACCTGCCGCAATCTCTGCTCTGCCCCCTTTGCTCAGTGGATGCTCTCTGTAGCTGGATCTGGTTTTGCTGCTCTTGATGGGCCAGAAGGTCCAATAAATTCTGCCTAGCATGACTGGCCTTGTTTCTTTGGGGCACCCAGGAGACAGTTGAGGCCCAAAGCTCCAGACCCCCCACTCTCCTTCCTGGCAGGGCTTGGCTTTAGGGGGGGAGGGTGGCTCTTAGGGGGGACCACCTACTGAGGCTCAGATGCTCTCCTCCCGTCCCCCTCCCTGGAACTGAAGGGGGTGAAAACTGCTGGGCCTCAGCACCCCTTCCCTGCCCCCAGAGCCGATTGGCACCCGTGGGACTCCCTCCTGGCAAGATGGCGACATCCCGCTAAAGAAGACATGGGGGTGGGAGCGAGGGCTGGGTCCAGGAAGCACTTTCCGGATGCTGAGTTATCCAACAAGCAGCTAAACCCCCTACTCTGGGAATTTGGGGATCCCCCTCAGGATCCCCGAGATCCTGAAGAAACGGCACCTATTTTCTCCGTGGAGCTTAACTGAGCCTCAGGATGGGCCCATCATGGGGGGATTTTCTTGGAAACAGTCTCCCCTGGAAACAAAGCCCAGAAATTAAGGGAGCAGCTACGAAGATTCAGTCATTGGGAAATATAGGAAAAAAGCATACTTTTCACAATATAGATTTTAAGATATGGGGAGAGCTTCTCGGAAGAGTCTGACCCTGTGGGACCCGAGGAAGTGGACAGGGTCCTGGAGCCTATCAGGGCCGCCACCTGTCAGTCAGATCAGAGGTCCCCAACCCCCGCTCTGCGGCCTGTTTGGAACTGGGCCGCAGAAGTGGGCAAGCACGCCGGTGAGGCTGCATTTGTGACAGTGGCATCCCTGCACGTGTGAAGCCATCCCTTCTGCCCCCCCCCCCATCACCACTGGTCTGCCGAGCCGGAGGGTTTGCGGACCCCTGAGTTAGATCCTCGTCCCCCCTGGATGGAGAAAGGCTCCAGGGCTTGGACTATCGGCTGGCTCCAGGCAGTGATTGACAGGCAGCTTGAGGGACCGTCTCACCCCACTGGGGTTGGCCCCTCCCACCTCTACTGGCAGAGGGCGCCTGGGAATTCCAGCATCTGGATGGCTCCGGAAGCTTCATGGTTTCCATCCATCCATCCATTCAGTCATTCATTCATTCATATTTTTGCAACTAACTCAAGGCAAGAGACCCTCCTCCCTCCTGGATGGAGAAAGGCTCCAGGGCGGTTGCGCTTGATTGGTTGGAGAATGGTGGCAATCTGGACTCTGCCTGAGGCAATCTGCGCTGTTATTGGTTGCCCAGGGTGTAGAGGGGGCAGTTCCATGTTTTCCCGCCTTTTTTCTTCTGTGTGCCCTTTGGTGCTCTGAGATTTACCTCAGGATGCTCCTGTTCTCCCCACCATCTTGTCTGCTGCAAATATAGATGTAAAATATGTTTATTTATATAAAACTAAATTTCGTGTCAGCTTCTCTGACTTCATTGGAACACCTGCTGTGCAATTCCCTCAAAAGTTACGGGCCCAGAAGTGCCCTGGAGAGCCAGGAGTAAATTCCTCTGAGGTAAAACTTTGTTTGTGGGCGTGAGGGGCCTATGAAGACAACCCATTGCTGTTACTTGAGTGGGAGGAGGATCTCCTGAGCCTGGCCTGAATGAGTCGAATTATCTCTCCTGGGCCCTGAAAATGGAGGCGTTTCTGTGAAGGAATTCCTCCAACAGACAGCAAAAGTGAAAGGAGAAAGCCCTAAAAGGGCTGATCACCTGTGGGATGCCCGCAAGAGGTCCCTTGTGGGGGGGGGGGAGAGAAGCAGATCTGGAGCAGGGGGTGGATTTCTGCTGGGTTCCTTGAATTCTTTGCAGAAATAATAAAGGGGGGATGCAAATACTGCAATTAAAACTCTGAAGCTCCCTGAGCCATTCGGACTAAGCAGGAATTGACCCCCCTTTGCAGCGTCCTTGATGTGGGGCTGCCCTTGAAAGTCCCCCAAAATTGCAGTTTCTGCGGAAGGGAGCAGCCAGGCTGTTGAAGGGGGATCAGGTGGGTCTGTCCTAAGGGATCTCCTCTCGCCTCCCGGGTGCCCCCAAACTGCTCAAGCCCCCAATGACCGACTGGCTGATCACCTGTGGGACACCCACAAAAGGCCCCTTTGGGTGGGCAGAGAGAGAGAGAAAGGAGAGAGAGAGAGAGAGAGAAGGAGAGAGGGAAGGAGAGAGAAAGAGAGAAGGAGAGAGAGAGGAGAGAGAGAAGGAGAGAGAGAGAGAAGGAAAGAGAAGAAGGAGAGAGAGGGGGGGAAAGAAGCCATCTGCTTTAGGGGCCTCACCTGTCCACAGGTGGGAGAGCCCCACTCACCTGTCCCTCGGCCTCCACAGGTAGAAAGTCTGCTGGGAGGCAACTCCAGGCTTCCCTCCTGCGAGGGGAAGGGAGGCATTTATAGGCCAGGAAAAGGAGGGTTTCTTTTGGGGGGGCGGCAAAGGGAGGGAAAAATGGCTTTGCTTAAGAAGGGAAATGGTGGTGCAGCCACCAGGAAGGAGCCTGTTTGCACAAAACACCTTTAATCTGACTGTGGATTTACATGCTGTGGATTTACACAGAGAGGCTCCTGAAATTTCAAATGTTCCTTGAGGTCATCCAGTCCAGCCCCTGCTCAGTACAGCAATCTAAAGGGAGAACCCCGGATACGTGGCTGATTGGCCCCCTCCCCTTTGGGTATCCAGACAAGGGGATCCCCCCCACCTCCTCTGGGTCTGGGGGCTGCTGTTGACAGGCTGACTTTCCCTTTTTCTGAGCGAGGTTTTTCTCACTTCCCTTCAGAACCTGCAGGAATGAACAGCTCCCAGCATCCTCCCAATGGAGGGCATGGCTGCGTTTCCACAACATGCCCAGACCTCCACCCAGGTAAAGAGAAGGAAATGGCTCAGTGGCAGGATTTAAATGTGTGAACAATGGCTTCTCTGTGTGGATGCCACTTCCAGAAATCCATTCTGGGCCTGGGCAACAAGCGGTGCAAACTGGCTGAATCCCACCACTGGAATGGCTGCTTTGTTCACACAATCTGCTGAATGGGTGGCTGGGTTTGAAGAAACGCTGAACCACAAATCGACCCACTCTGTTTTAATGCAGAATTGTCTGCAAAACCCCCACACAACCTTTAGAATAGAATAGAGCTGGAAGGGACCCTGGAGGTCTTCTAGTCCAGCCCCCTACTCATGCAGGGGGCTGGACTAGCCTCTTCTTAAAAACCTCCCGTGATGAAGCGTCCACCATTTCTGGAGGCAACTTCTGTTCCTCTGCTTAATTGTCCTCACTGTTAGGAAGTTTCTCCTTAATTCCAGGTTGCTTCTCTCTTTGGCCAGTTTCCAACCATTCTTTCTCATCCTTTCCTTTGGTGCTTTGGAGAATAATTGGACCCCCTCTTCTTTGTGGCAGCCCCTCAAACACTGGAATACTGATATCATATTTCCCCCATTTCTTCTTTTCTTTAGACTAACCAAACCCAAGCCGTTCTTTTTGTATTTTAGTCTCCAGGCCATGAATCATCTCAGTTGCTCAGTTTCTCCTTCTTTCCTTTGGTGCTTTGGAGAAAAACATGACCCCCCCCTTCTTTGTGGCAGCCCCTCAGATACTGGAATACTGCTATCATGTCTCCCCTATTTCTTCTTTTCTTTAGCCTAGCCAGACCCAAGTCCCACAGCCGTTCTTTGTATGTTTTAGTCTCCAGGTCTTGAATCATCTCAGTTGCTCTTCTCTGAACTTTTTCCAAAGTCTCAACATCTTGTTTGTGATATGGTGATGAAAATTGGCTGCAGTATTCCAGGTGTGGCCTCACTAGGCTTTGATAAAGCGGTACGAATACTTCGCGTGATCTTGATTCTCTGCCTCTGTTTATGCAACCCAGGATTGTGTTAGCTTTTCTGGCTGCTGCTGCACACGGCTGGCTCAGGGTCAAGTGATCGTCCACTAGGATTCCCAGGTCCTTCTCATAGTGGCTGTATTTGAGCTGGGTCTCACCTAATTGTACTTATATCTTTGATTTTTCCTGCCTAAATGTAAAACTTTGCTTTTCTCCACATTCAAACTCACTTTGTTGGACAGGGCCCATGGTTCAAGTTTGTCAAGATCTATTTGAATCCTGAGCTTGTCTTCTGGGGTGTTGGCTATTCTTGCCAGTTTGGTGTCATCTGCAAACTTTCACCAATCACTTTTCATATCACCCTTTTAATGTGGGAGTGAACCCCCCCCCTCGACTTCCCCAGCTGCACCCAGGTGGAACCCCCCATCCTGGCTTTCTCTCCATGACACACTAAGGCACATAATAACTAGCCAAGAATTGTGGGTTGTGTTAGAAACAGGTTGGGATATTTCTGAGAGCTGATCAACCTATTGTCTGCATCTGGCTGATGTTTTGCTGCTGTGAGGGGCTCAGCAGGGTCACTTCCGGGGCTGAACTCTCTTTCAAAGCCTTCCTAGAAGCAGCTTATTTTGTTAATTTATGTCTTCCCATTTTGAAGCATCCAATGATTGAAGCTGGCCCACCCTCTGCAGGGAGCAGACACAGCAGCCCAACCATCCTCCCTGAAGCCCCCCTGTCCGACCCCCAAGACGGAGACCCTGGGCCTTCAGGGGGAGACTCTTCTTATCGTATCCCCAGGGGGTTTATTATTATATATCCTAATTATTTATAGACTTGGTCAGGGCAGCTCTGGGCAGCTAACTATCATAACAAATAAAAAGTGTGCAAAGATGTAAATACAATGGTACACACAGTGAAATAAAGGGGGCAATTAAAGGTTGGGGAGGGGGAGCAGAATGAGGGGAAGTGGCATCTGTTGTTAATTAATTAACCTCCCCACTGTGATGCTCCCCCATTGAGGTCCCAAGCCCAGCGGCTGAGCTATGTCTTTAGGCCCTTAGAGGAGGACAGGAGGGTTGGGGCCGACCTCATTCTGGGGGGGGGGCAACGGCAGAGAAGGCCCTTCTCCTGGACCCCCCAGCTGGGATTCCCTGCTCCATGGGGCCCACAGCAGGTCTTCTCTGGGGCATGGGTGGGAGGGGCCCTAGTGGGGTGGGAGGGTCCCTCGGGCAGCCTGGACCCCTGCAGTGAAGGCCTTGAAAGGTCATCACCACCCCTTGAACTGCATCTGAGATGCCCGATCCGAGAAAGGCCACGACTGGTGCACAACTCAAAGCTACACAAAGGGTAACTGGAGTCTTGCCAGGGTTCAGCCCGTTGTCCCCCATCCAGCCCCCCCCCTCCCAGCCTCCAGGCCCCCAAGAGGGCGGCCACAGCATCACCTGGGTCTCCAGTGTGGAAATGGAGCGCTGAGAATCCTCCGCGTGCTGCATATACCCCAAACCCTGGTGAGGGGGGAGTCTCACCTAGTGGTTTCAGGGAGACGCTGAAAAGGAGCGGACGGGGGAGGGAGGGGTGGCTTTGTTAAGGAGGGGGCCAACCAGGGGCTCCTTAAAAGGAGGAGGATGTAACTGGCAGGTGGTGGCCCTAATGGCCCCCGGGCCCCTGTCCGCTTCCTGGCTCCCATAGAGAGAAACCATTCCCAGACAGTCCGGCAAGCTCTCTCCCCGGGTCTTCAGATCTGCCTTTCCCAAGGACAGAATCTTCCCAGCTGCTCCCCTCATTCCTGGGCTTCGGTTCCAGGGGAGACTGTTTGCCAGGGAATCCCCCCTGATGGGCCCATCCTGAGGCCCAGTTAGGCTCCATGGAGAAAGTAGAGACAACCGAGGGGCCGTTTCTTCAGGATCTCAGGGCTCCTGAGGGGGATCCCCAAATTCCCAGAGGTGGGGATTTAGCAGCTACCTGGAAAACTCAACAACCTGACAGCGCTTCCTGGAGCCAGCCCTCCCTCCCACCCCCGTGCCTTCTTTAGCGGGATGCCGCCATCTTGCCCGGAGGGGGGCCCACGGGTGCCAATAGGCTCTGGGGCAGGGAAGGGGTGCTGAGGCCCAGCAGGTTCCTCCCCCCTTCGGTTCCAGAGGAGAGCATCTGAGCCTCAGTGGGTGCCCCCCCTAAGAGCCACCCTCCCCCCCTAAATCCGAGCCCTGCCAGAAAGGAGACTGGGGGGGTCTGGAGCTTTGGGCCTCAACCCTCTCCTGGGGGCCCCAAAGAAACGAGGCCAGTCATGCTAGGCAGAATTTATTGGACCTTCTGGCCCATCAGGAGCAGCAGAACCAGATCCAGCCACAGAGAGCATCCATGGAATGACAGGGTACAGAGCAGAGATTGCGGCAGGCGGGGTAGGGGTGGGGGTGTGGGGGCTTCCTTGCTTCTCCAGACTTCACACAGTCGCATCTTCAGACTATGCCTGGAACTTGCAGACGACATTGTGAGTCTTGCTGCAGGCTCTACTTAACCACTGGTTATCAGCTGGGTAGTAAAAGAGAAATTTTGATCACTTCCTGCAGAGATTCCCGGAGAGTCCCAGAAGATCTTTTCAGAGGCTCCTGGCTCATTTGCAGGAGGACATGAAAGTACCACAGGTGGAGACTCTCATCCCCTAAAACAGGCTGGGGTTCAACAGGTTCTTCTGAGCCAGATAAATTACCTGGCCCTCAAATTTCTTTCATTTCTTCTGTCTCACTTTTAATTTAATTTTTATATGTATCCCACCTCTTTACAACTCACCCAAGGCAGCAAACATATTCAACACATCTTCCTCCTCCTCTTCTCCCCACAACAACAACCCTGTGAGGTGGCTTGGGCAGAGAAAGGGAGGGGCCGGTCCAAAGTCACACAGTCGGCTTTAGCGCCTAAGGCGGGACTAGAACTCCCCGTCTCCTCTTTCTAGCCTGGTGCTTCCACCAGAGACCAAATTGCTCTTTTGATTGGTTTATAATTCGACCAGGCATGTGTTAATATTTCTCTTCTACACACACACACACACACACACACACACACACACACACACACACCCCAAATGTGGCCGAGGGTCCTTTCACCACAATGGGGGGGGGGTTTGCAAGATTGATCTACATCTGAGCAAGCAAACCAGGAAGAAAAAGCCAGATGCCCTGAGACAATGATGGCCTTTGGGAACAAGGTTAAGATGGAGCTTGTTAGTTGCATTATGAGCTGATGGCCTCATAATAGTTTTCATACAGAGCTCCAGTCCCGTTTTTAATGGTTTCTCCCTTGGTTGTGTTGTGTTCCCTTGTCTGTGCAGAGGGTAGGACTGAGGCAGCTCAGAGATCCAGGAGGTCAAGAAAGGTCCCCAGTGGCCAAGGGGTGGGGGCTGCAAGAAGGATCCCCGGGGTCCTCATGGAGGGAAGTGCGCCCTCCTTAACCTAACACAATGTGCACCACCACATTGACTTACTTGACTGGAAATAGACACAATAAGATTCTTCAGCCCAGTCTTTGTATTTGAGCATGGCACCATCGCTCCATTGCCAGCTGCATTGCTGGAAAGACAAGGAGGCCCCGTTAGCCAACTGAGGAGGGGGCTCTGGCTACACAGACAGAAAAGTTGGCAGAGCTTCAAGGTGCAGAGCAAATGTATCCTCACTCCTTCCCTCTCTCTCTCTCTCTCTCTCTCTCTCTCTCTCTCTCTCTCTCTTTCTGTCTCTCTCTTTCCTTCTCTCTCTCTCTCTCTCTTTCCTTCTCTCTCTCTCTCTCTCTCTCTTTCTCTCTCTCTCTCTTTCCTTCTCCCTCTCTCTCTCCATCCACCCCAGCTGACCCGCAGCAGCTAAGCAGGGTCCCACTTGGGGGCTGCCTGGAGAGGAGACAGTCAGGGGATCCAGAGGGAAAAGAGGAAAAAAGGGCCTGGGGGGGTCCGAGGAGTCCCCAGCTCAGCTTGGGGGCCACTTTGCCCAATGCCCAACGGGGTGACCGCTGCGAACGACCCTCCTGGGTCTCCGGAAGAGGAAGAGGTCCAAAGCCCATCACTCCCTGGATGGGGGAGCAGAAGCGGAACCCAGGGCTCCAGGGGACACTTGGGAAGAGAAAAGCCTCCGGGGCATCTTTGGTTACTTCTTTTGAGGACCTCCTTCACTCTTGTCCCCAGAAATTCACATTTCTCTCCAAAAAGTCCCCAGGAGCTGAGCTCAACTCCAGGGAATCCCCCCCCCTCCTTTGGACACAGCGGAGCTTCTTCCAAGAGCTGAAAACCCAACAGAGCAGGTCACAGAAAGGAGGAAATTCTGCCTTAATTAGAAAAAAATGGGGGAGGGGAGGAAAGAACACCCCCCCCCCCAGGCGAGGCCTCCAAAGCCCCTGAGCTGAAGGCCCAGCAGAGTCTCCCCAGGTGTGGAGGCCATCCCAGGGGCCCTCCAGAGGGAGGAAGGCCTGGAGGCCAAGATGGGGGCCCTTGAAGTCCGCAGTGGGTCCTTCGGGAGGGAGGAAGGAAGGATTTGGGGAGGACAGAGAGAGAGAAAGAGAGAGGGAGGGAGGGAGAGAGAGAAAGAGAGGAAGAGGATGGGAGTAAAGCTTTTCTGCTTTGGTTCTCTCTGCTGTTGTCCCAGGCAGGAACATTGAATGGGGAGACCTCCACTTCCCATTGGGAGATTCTTCCAAAACAAAACCACAAACCTTTAGAATCAGGAAAGGGGAATCGATCAAGATTAGCGTTAGAGAGGGCCTACATTCCAGACATTGCTCAGTCCTATCCAGAAAATACTCTTGCCAAAAGTTTGGAAGGCCAGCTTGACCACAAAATCTGCTTCTTCAGTGCTGTGGAAGGAGACCAGATATCCGCCTGTGTGCTGTTGTGTGCAGAAGTTCTGGGAGACACCAACAACATAGAGAAACACTTGTTCAGCTGATTCAGATGTTTTGTGTGTGTGTGTGTGTGTGTCTGTGTCTGTGTGTGTCTGTGTCTGTGTGTTTCTGCCTCTGAGAACAGAGCAGGGATCCCACTGCCTGATCCTGCCCACTCTCACTTGACACCCGCAGTTGCCCTCCCTGAACAGGCAGTTTTTGCAAGGCGCCTCTTTTGGCTTCAGGACTCTCCTCCTCCCCCTCCCCCTCCCCCTCCCCCTCCCCCTCCTCCTCCTCCTCCTCCTCCTCTTCCACAGAGACCCCAGACTGAAGCCAGGACCAGCTTTGGGGCAGTGGGCTCTGCAGACCCGCTCACCCCCTGCTCCCTGTCCGGGAACCCCTCTGCGTCAGCAAAGGGGCCTCTTCCTCCTCCTCCCCCTCCTCCCCCTCCCCTTCCCTCCTCCTCCCTCTCCCCTCCCCCTCCTCCCCCTCCCTCCTCCTCCATCCTCCTCCCCCTCCCCCTTCCTCCTCCCCACTCCCTCCTCCCCTCTCCCTCCTCCTCCCCCTCTTCCTCCTCCCCCCTCCCTCCTCCTCCTCCCCTCCTCCGCCTCCCTCCCTCCTCCTCCTCCTCCTCCTCCCCCTCCGAGTTTCCCAGAGGAAGGAGCAGAAAAAAGAGTTTTGGAGGAGGCCAAACGCAGCTCAGCCTTGAAGATTTGGGGAGACCCCCAAGCCCTCTACTGCCCGGCTCTTCAGCGCCCCTCACTTCTGCAGCCTGAAATGGTTTTTGACAGGTGTCCTGCTGACTCCAAGGGCGGAGAAGGGAAGCTGCAGGGGGCTGAGGGGGAGAGTCCCCGGGATATCTGCCTCTCAGGGGTCCCTTTCCAGACCCCCAGCCGAGTCTCCCTCCCTCCCTCCCATCGGAGCCAGAGGGGACTTGGGGGCTTTGCAAGGCTCTCCCTGCACGTCTCCTCCGCCTGGGCTGGGAGACCCTCAGGCACACAAAGACCGCTCACCTCTGCATCTTCCCAGTTCTTTGGTTCATTGAAGGGCTTGTAGCAATGCCCTTCATAGGAAGACCAACCAGAGGGACAATCAGCTGCAGTTCCTGTGTGGGAAGACAGGATGCCCAATGAGAAGAGAGGAGGGGGGGAGGATGAGGAGGAAGAAGAGGGGGGAGGACGAGGAGGGCAGGAGGAGGAGGGGGAGGCAGAGGGGGAGACAGCTGGGTCTGCAGAACATGCTTAACCTGCTGTGATACAAACATCTTTGATGACAAAAAATTGCAACTGACTTGCAGCTTCCTTTGCAGATTGTCCAAACCTTGGTTAGAGTTAACCCTGGTTTAATTCCCTGGAAGCTGCATGTCTGGTGTGTCTCTGTCCATGTTGCGGCTTTTCTCATTCCGTGAAGGGTGCAAAGGCAGAAATGGGCTCCTTCACGAACAGATTAACCTTTGCAGACCTGCCTGGGCCTCAAGTCCCAGCTGAGCCAATTTGGCCTAATGGTTAGAGCACCTGGCTAGGGAGACCAGGAGTTCTAGTCCCGCTTTAGCCCTGGAAGTCAGCTGGGTAACTTTGAGCCAATCACAAGGAGACGGGGAATTCTAGTCCCGCCTTAGTCATGAAAGCAGGGTGTCAATCAGTCTCTCAGCTTAATCCACCTCACAGGGTTGTTGTTGTGGGAAAACAGAAGGAGGAAAGAATATCAGATATGTTCATTGCCTTGAATTATTGGTAGTAGTAGTAATAGTAGTAGTAGTAGTAGTAGTAGTAATAAGAAGAAGAAGAAGAAGAAGAAGAAGAAGAAGAAGAAGAAGAAGAAGAAGAAGAAGAAGAAGAAGAAGAAGAAGAAGAAGAAGAAGAAGAAGAAGAAGAAGAAGAAGAAGAAGAAGAAGAAGAAGAAGAAGAAGAAGAAGAAGAAGAAGAAGAAGAAGAAGAAGAAGAAGAAGAAGAAGAAGAAGAAGAAGAAGAAGAAGAAGAAGAAGAAGAAGAAGAAGAAGAAGAAGAAGAAGAAGAAGAAGAAGAAGAAGAAGAAGGCAGGATACACAGGAATAAATAAAAACCGTGAAGCATTCTGAGCCATTCAGACTTAGCAAGAATTATCCCCACTTTAGGTGCAACCTATCCAGACTACTGCAATGCCAGGCCGTTTACTGGTGCAAAGGAAGAGGGATCAGGTGGGTCCATCCTAAGGGATCTCCTCTCGCCTCCTGGGTGCCCCCAAAATGCTCAATGGTTTAGTGGCAGATTACCTGTGAGGCTGCCCCCCTGCTCCCCCCTGCCCAGGAAGGGCCTATCTGAAGACGCCCCCATCAGGGGCTCAGCTCTTCAGCAGATGGGGAAGGGTCTCACCCCTTGAGTGGCTCCCATGGAGAGAAATCCCTAGCAAGAGGGGGGAGGGGCACCCTACTTTTCATGATCAATGCATGCATTTTCCCCAAGGGTTTTACTTCATTCTTAATTAATCAATTCTGCATTTCAGAGGTGTTAATTTTCCTTGGGTTTTGTGTGGCTGCACACAGTCCTGAGTCCTGGGGCAGAGAGAGAAGGTGGGATCTGGATGGCAGAAGGAGCCAAGCGGGAATAAAAGCAACTTTGGGGAGAGGATTCTGGGGGGGGGGGTCAAATCAGGAAGGGGTTGGAGGTGGGAGAGCTTCGGCCTCTCCGGACACGAGGGACCCTGCTCGAACTCACCACTCAGGGAGAGGAACATGACCAGCAAGCCGAAGCTCACGAAGAGGAATCGCCCCATGGCCTTCTTTCCTTCCCTGCAGAGAGAACTGGGGGGGGGGCGAGGAAAGGGGGGTGAGATGGGGGGAAGTCCAACCTGTGGCCAAGCTGGGAGTCCCAGACTTTGCGTTGCACTTTTTCACTTGCCCAGCTGGACCCCGTTTCTCCCTCCTTTTCCAGGCAGCAGCCTTGGGGGGGGGTCAGAGTGGATCCTGCATTGCTACGTACAGAAGGCCCCCCCAAAAGTCTCTCTTCCCCAGAGATCTCCCTGGTAGATCCCTTTGTCCTTCCCTCCCAAGGATCCCCTGCTGGAACCTGGACATTACCCGCCGCCCCCTGAAAGAGGTCCCTGCAGGTGGGGGGGGGAGAGAGAGAGGAGTGATGGAATGGAGGGGGTCTCACCTGTCAGGTGCCCACAGGTGGGAGAGCCACACTAACCTGTTCCTCGGCCTCCACAGGTAGCAAGTCTGCTCAGAGGCAACTCCAGGCTTTCCTCCTAGGAGGGGAATGGAGGCATTTATAGGCAAGGAAAGGGGGGGTGGATATCTGTGGGGGGGACGGTGGGAGAAAAAGCTCTGTGTGAGAATGGATTTTGGTGGCTACTGATTAGGAAGTAACTTGTTTGCACAAAAGAAGTTGACAGATTTGATCTCTGCCAGGACGGATGTCATGGAGGGAATCCTACATTGAAATGTTCCCTGAGGTCATCCAGCCCAGCCCCTGCTCGTTGCAGCAATCCAAAGGAAAGTACCCTGGATATATGGATGATTAGCCCCCACCCCTTGAGGTTATCCAGACAAGGGGATCCCCCCCACCTCCTCTGGGTCTTGGGCTGCTGTTGACAGGCTGACTTTTCCTTTTTCTGAGTGAGATTTCTAACTTTCCTACAGAACCTGCAGGATTGAACAGATCCCTGAGCTGGGTGTTTCCTTGCAGACGTTTCCTGACCCAACTGGAGAACATCTTCAGTGCTAGAAGAGAGTGAGTTTCTGGAGAGGAGGGGGGGGTAGAGGAAGACTGATGGGGCTGCTACTTGCCATGCTTCAGTCTTGCCCCCCCCCCCCAGTTCGGAAAAATCTCTTCCTGGATTTTGCCCCTGGATGGCACAGCTCGAACCGTTTTCTGCCCATGTCAGCAAAGGTCGCATATTTGATCTGGGGAGGGCCAGGGTGGAAAGCCCCCAGCCCCACATCAAAGACCCAGAGCCAAGGGGGGGGGGACACTTGCCACCCTCAACCTGCAACCGGTTGTGTGCAACCTCCGTCCCCATCTCTGCTTTGCAACTGAGCACAATCAGCCGTTCTCCACCCGTTGTCCTACACTATAGCTGCCATGTTCCTTGGCCAGGAGGCCCTTTCGCTTGGCTATTTAGGGGGGAGGTGGCTGCTCAAGCAAAATCCAGCCATGGGGTTTACCCTCTGGGTGTTTGGGGGGGATGGAGCAAGCTGGGCCTCTGGGAACCAGGGTTGGGGGTTCAAAGGTGCTTCCTCAGCCTTGGCCCCTTCAGCCGCCCTGGACTCCACCTCCCAGAATCCCCCAGTCTCGGCCTTGTCCCAGTCCAGGCAGCAGCCCTGAAGTGAAGGGACCTCCGGCTTCTGCTCGGGGCCAGGAGATGGGAGGGGAGGGGGGGAAAGGAGCCCTGAAAGTGGTTTGGCAAGACTCACAAAGGAGCAATTGTTGCCTCCACACTAGGAAGGAGCTGTTGTTGTTCCTAAAACAGCGCCAAGCATGGTTGGATCCCTTACAAGCCGGATCCGGGTTTGGCCTCCTCCCTGCTCAGCTGAGGGGCAGGCAAAAGAGTGCAGGTCATTCGACCATCTTCCTACTCTTCAGGTGAAAGGGGGGCCAGGGGGGCACCCCAAAGGCCTGAAGGTCCAGGTGGGGGAGCAGAAGGTCACTCTCCAGTCACTAAGAAGCGACACCCCTGGATGGGCCTAATCAGTCCGGGACTATTCCTGACCTCCCAGCGGAGTCTGAGAACTGGGCTCCCCTGCTGTCAAACTGAACTGAAACCATTTTTCATTTTGTCTTCATTGCCACAATTTAGTTTAGAGGTTTTAGTTGAAGGATGGGGGGGGAGGGGGATGTTAAGTTCCTCAGTTAGCCATAACAATACTTCTGTGTGAGAATCAAGGTCAGCCCTGATAAGGGTTTTTGGGGGTGGAAAAGCTGGGAGGACAGCCTGCATTTTGAAATAATTGGTGAGTGTGATTTATGAGAGTAATTTGAGGTTGGAATCGCAACTTGTTCCTTTGTAGCCTGAGGGAGGGGATTTCAGTCTTGGGTTCATCTATGTAAGTGCCGATACTTTGTTTCCTAAATAAAATGTTTAAGGAAGAAGCCTTTGCCTTGAAGTTCTTTTAAATGGTTTCATCTATGGGAACCATGAGAGCTGCTTGGCCTGGGACCCCGACAGGGCCCTGCTGACCCGGGAGAGGAGCCCCCTCCCCCAGGATGGCCAGCATGGTGGTTTATAGTCTGTCGATTCCATTTCTGGCATTTTTTTAAAAAAAATCTTAAATTGTAAGGGGCCCAGAGAGACAGTATCAGTGAAATGGGTGTCATAGAAAAGGAAGAATGAAGAAAGGGTGGGAGCAAGGAAAGAACGACGAGGCCAAACCCAAATTTGGGTTGTAAGGAATCCAACTTTGCTGGGCACTGTTTTGGGAAAAACAGCAGCTCCTTCCTGGTGTGGAGGCAACAATTGCTCCTTTGTGAGTCTTGCCAAACCACTTTCAGGGCTCCTTTCCCCCCCTCCCCTCCCAACTCCTGGCCCTGAGCAGAAGCCGGAGGTCAATTCACTTCAGGGCTGCTGCCTGACTGGGAGAAGGTCGAGACTGGGGAATTCTGGGAGGTGACGTCCAGGGTGCCTAAAGTAGCCAAAGCTGAGAAAGCACCTTTGAACCCCCAACTCTGGTTCCCAGCTTGCTCCGCCCCCCCCCCAAACACCCAGGCAGTTGCAGTTTGAGGGTGACAAGTGTCCTCCCCGGCTCTGGGTCTTTGATGTGGGGCTGTGGGCTCCCCCAGCTCTCCCCAGCTCAAATATGTTCAAAACATGACATCCAGGGGCAAAATCTAGGAAGAGATTTTTCCAAACTGGGGGGAGGGCAGGACTGAAGCATAGCAGGTAGCAGCCCCATCGGTCCTCTCCCCTCCTCCTCTCCAGAAATTCTCTTCTAGCACTGATAATGTTCTCTAGTTGGGTCAGGAAACGTCTGCAACGAAACACCCAGCTCAGGGATCTGTTGATTCTGACAGATTCTATAGGAAAGTTAGAAAAAGTCAGCCTGTCAACAGCAGCCCCCAGACCCAGAGGAGGTGGGGGGGCTCCCCTTGTCTGGACACCCTCAAGGGGTGGGGGCTAATCAGCCACATACTCAGCAACAAGCTACCCAAGTCACCTCACCTACTCAAGAGAACGTAGAGAACCCCGCTACAGCTGCCGTCACACCTGCTCCGTATGACAGCAATGACGAGGGGGACAACGACCTGATGGTGAGTCAGCCTATTCTACCTTTTTCCCTCTCTGCCAAACTGAGGGTTCCTAAGACAGGCGCCCAAATGGACTTATTATTCACGCCAAAGTGAATAAAATCCAACAGCGGGGTGCAGTTTGCGGCCAGGTTCTGGGGGGGGTTTTTAAAAATTGATTGGTTCTACGCAAGGACTGTCATCGGGTTTTCATCCATCTACAAATGGAGTGGCTGAAAAAGCGAACGCAACGGTGGAGCAACATCTTAGATGTTATGTGGATTATCAACAAACAAATTGGCCTATCTCCTCCCTTTTGCTGAGGTAGCTTATAACAACACTGTACACAGCAGCAGCGGATTTACGCCATTTAAAATAGCCACAGGGAGAGATTTCATATCGATGCCTGAATACCCCCAAGAGCCACCTGCATCTCAGACTTTAGATCAATGGGTGTCCGCTTGGAAGGAGGTGAGGGACCATGCAAAGAAAGCTTTGAAGAAGCTTCAGAGACAAAAAAAAACAAAAGGATGAGAAAAGGGCACCTCAAAAATCATGTCAGGTGGGAGAGAAAGTTTATCTTTTCATGAAATATTTAAGACTCAAATTACCTAGCAAGAAATTGAGGCCAAAATACTTGGGACTATTTCCCATAGTGCGGATTTTGAACCCAGTAACTGAGGAACTAAAACTTCCTCGACTTTTAGGAAAGATCCACCCAGTATTTCACCGCAGTTTGTTGAAACCTTTCAGAGATTCTACCCTCCCAAGGAAGCACCTGGCCCGCTTGTGGTAGCTGGAGAGACTCATGACGAAGTGAAGCATATTATTGATGCCAGATTGTATAAAGGGAAATTACAATACTTAGTGCAGTGGAAGGGTTATCCGTTATCAGAGGCTACCTGGGTGAAGTGAACTGATGTGAAGGCTAATCGAGACATACGTAAATTTTATGATAAGCATCCAAACAAACCGAGGGGGGGGGGATTCCTAACTTTTATTCTTGTTTGATTTGCAGGATTTCACCTTTCTTTTAAGAGGAGCCGAATGTCAACTTGCGACAAACTGAACTGAAACCATTTTTCATTTTGTCTTCATTGCCACAATTTAGTTTAGAGGTTTTAGATGAAGGAGGGGGAAGGGGGATGTTAAGTTCCTCAGTTAGCCATAACAATACTTCTGTGTGAGAATCAAGGTCAGCCCTGATAAGGGTTTTGGCGGGTGGAAAAGCTGGAAGGACAGCCTGCATTTTGAAATAATTGGTGAGTGTGATCTGTGAGAGCCATTTGGGGTGGGAATTGCAGCTTGTTCCTTTGTAGCCTGAGGGAGGGGATTCAGTCTTGGGTTCACCCATGTAAGTGCCGATACTTTGTTTCCTAAATAAAATGTTCTTTAAGGAAGAAGCCGTTGCCTTGAAGTTCTTTTAAATGGTTTCATCTATGGGAACCATGAGAGCTGCTTGGCCTGGGACCCCGACAGGGCCCTGCTGACCCGGGAGAGGAGCCCCCTCCCTCAGGATGGCCAGCATGGTGGCTGATAGTCTGTCTCTTCCATTTCTGGCATTTTTAAAAAAAATTCTTAAATTGTAAGGGGCCCAGAGAAACAGTATCAGTGAGATGGTTGGCATAGAAAAGGAAGAACAAAGAAAGGGAGGGAGGGAGGGAAGGAGGGAGGAAGGACGAGGCCAAACCCAGATCCGGCTTGTAAGGAATCCAACCTTGCTGGGTGCTGTTTTGGGAACAACAGCAGCTCCCTTCCTGGTGTGGAGGCAACAATTCCTCCTTTGTGAGTCTTGCCAAACCACTTTCAGGGCTCCCCCCCCCCATCTCCTGGCCCCGAGCAGAAGCCGGAGGTCCCTTCACTTCAGGGCTGCTGCCTGAACTGGGACAAGGCCGAGCCTGGGGGATTCTGGGAGGTGAAGTCCAGGACGGTTGAAGGGGCCAAGGCTGAGGAAGCACCTTTGAACCCCCGACCCTGGTTCCCAGAGGCCCAGCTTGC